AAATGGGCGAGTTCACAGGGAATTTCGAGACCATCTCGATACCAACTTATTGTGGGAGTTGGGTAGCCTAGAAATGAAGCTCAAAGTTAAATAACCGCTGCCTTGAATTTGCACTTGCTGTTCGCATACCTCCAATTACTTGGCATTTCAGGGATACGATGTCGCCTTCGCTGTATGGTCCCACCACTGTAGACCGCTCCACATTAGAGCTGTCTCGAATTATAACTTGCTTTGGTGGAGCTAATGAAAAACATAGGCAATTATTACGATTCATTTCTGTGCAATCATTTATATGAAACCATATAATTTACAGATACCGATAATAAACAATTGCAGTATAAATTACTCACATATGACATTGAGCCTTATACGGCTATTTATGGTTTGCGCCTTTAGGAAATCCACTCGGCATCTATAAGTGCCTGAATCGGAGGCTTGTGTATTTTGAATTGATAGTTTTCCTGGTTCCTTATCGAATATGAAATAAGCCCTGTCTCCGAAAACAGAATCGTCTGACCATCTTTTTGGTGCCTTGGACACTCCCGCTCTGATGTCGGTGCTATAAAGTTGAATTTAGTTTGTAATATCTAATTGGGTAAGTTAACTGAATAACAATTAAGACACTCTTCTACCGGAATAAATAGGTTTCCTTAAGGAAATAAGTAGGTTTTGGTTGTATTTTCATTCATTTACCTGTATATGGGAGTACCTTTATCATCTCGGTACCACAAAATCAACACAGGCTCATCACCTTCATATGTTGTTACATTGCATGGAAGATAAATATTTTCACCAACCAGAGATTCGATTTGGTGAATTGGTACTGAAAAATATATAAATAAATATTCATGTGGTTTTAAAAATTAACATACACATTGGTACCATCATTCCTTATTTATAAAGTAGGTATAGTTATGTATTTGATTTTAAAAATGTAAATTAAGGTATTATTATTGAAGCCACCAATTGAAATTTCATAGGGTTCGCAAAGGTATATATTATTAAATTCCAGACGGCCCGTAAAATGTATAATAAAGGACTTATTGTTATGACCAGAATTACTTAGGCGTAAGCTACAATTTAATAAGTTTGTTCGAAAAAAGGTTACCAAAAGACCAAACTTTTCTTTTTTGTTATAACTTTTTTGTTAAGTTGCAATTTTATCTTGAATGCGCCCAGGAAGAGTTTCTCACTTAATTTTATAAAAACCCCCAAGTAAAAAGAGAATTTAACATCATTTAGTGATTGTAATCTAAAGTTTTGACTTACCATCTTTACTTCCGATGCTGGATTGTAAAAATTGAAGTGCTAGCATTAATAGCAGCAATAACTCCATGTTGTATACTTTTTTGGAACAGCAGAAATTAGTTGTCGTTTACATTTACTTAGTGTTTTTCCTTATCTAATCCACTAAAACACTGTTTGGGATTTGTATGTTTAATTGAGTAATAAGTTACATTTTATCATCTGAATTTTCACGGAAGATGAGCACACCAATACTTGTGCACGAACACTCAGTTACACATATACACGGGATATAACATTGTATGTATAACACATAGGTTTATATATTTTGCAGTAGTTGCGTATACTTAATATTGGGCATATTTTAAGTATGGTCGATAAAACCAACGTCACTGAGCACAGAAAACTAATAAATTAAATTTTGCAGACTTTTTGAATGGTCACGGATTTGATTTTATTTAATGTACGAGTATGTATGCGCGTATGTCTTTTCGTATGCACTTGTATATGTTTGCCAAAATTCCAGGATACACTTTACTATTGCTTATTTTCAAATGCGCACGTTTACAGGGTTCCGATTGGCGATACAAATAGCACAATTGCGATTTCCAATGTTGAATTGAGTGTATTATTTTAACAAAAACCAAGATGGAAAATAACGAGCACTGACAAAAAATTATATTACTTTTCTAGCCGCGATGCGAAACTAACACGTCGAAATTCCATCGCACTACACCTGCAAACCTGGGCTAAAAAGCTTGTCGGCGGGCGCATGCGTTTCGCAGGAGCTTTTGATGTAAACATTGCAACTATGACCTTTGTCCATGTGTATGTACGTGCATCCGCTAGTCTCAATTTAATCATCCTTTTTTTTTTCCTCCAAATATGAGTTGCCGACAAACTGGCTAGGAATTGGGCTAGATTTCTATTGCGAATGCCCACTTTTATTTGGTACCATTTGTTTGGTACGCAAAAGACGTTACTTTTCACATCACCAAACACGGCTGTCGAGTGGATTCTATTTTAAAAACAAGCTCAAAGGCACGGTGGCGTGCAGGTCCAAACTCAGAATGTACGTGCGTACATGTACAGTGAAAGCTCTCCGGGCGGACAGCTGCATCGGTTCTCTCGACTCCTCTCGCTCAGATGAACGTCTTATCCTTTTTGCCGGACAAAGAAACTAAAACCCCCGGAGTCCACCCAATGTATCTAGTTTCATTTCAACTGTGAGTACAGATATCCGACAGTTCTTGGGCCACAGAGGGGTTCAAAGAAGTTACAGCAGAAGTACATTAATGCGACTTGAATTTCAAGTCCTTAAAAGTCATGTCATTGAAGGTTTTGGTTTAAATATTGATCTAGACAACGAACTTATAAGGATACTTATTAACTATTTAGGATTTAAAAATAGTCCAGCATAATTAATAATATTTCATATACATTAAATGAAGTATTTAAGTAGTCTGACCAACACTTTAATGAATGTTTCCCAAAACTTAATGTATTACAAGCAACAAAACTTCCAAAAGGTAATTAAAAATATGCTTTAAAAATTAGTTTCAAGCCTTCTTTATAAACCACATTTTGGATTTACCTTTTTTTTGTAATTTTTAAATTCCCATAAAAATAAGGATACTATCGATAAGGAAATGACAATGGCGATAGTGATATATCGATGGTAGCCGCAGCACAACGCACCATCGATACTATCGATGATGGTTTTAAGTCTCTAGCTTCCACCACTAAATATACCTACACACCAACTGCTTGTGTTTTATTTTTATGAGAATCACACCGATTTTCCGAATTAGGGATTAATTAAAGCATCAAATTGATACCTGGTAATAATGGTGAATGACTCGGGTCTATCCACTGTTGATGACTTGGAGCAAAAACTGAATTCGGCCAAGCAGTCGCTGGTGATCCTGAATGAAAACATTCGCCGCATTGCTGGTCGCGTCCCCAAGGATTCCCTTCAGAGGTACGGTTCAGCGTTGGAAATGGTTAATTTAATTAATGGCAGTCACGCTACCTTCCAGATCGGAGAAATTCAAATACACCCACGATGGCAAGAAAAACGACCACAACGGCGAGCGACAGTTTCCCAGAAATGGACCAGGTGGGGTCTTCAAAGACAAGCGGCGGATGTACGAAACTAAAAACCCGGTTCCGCGCTTCCCCATCGAGGAGAACGAGGGACGACCGCCCAGGATCAACTCGCGGGTCATCCGGGAAATGCCCACCAAAAAGGAGGTGGTCGAGGCGCAGGGCACAGACTCCGAGTCGAGGGCCCGAAATCGCCGAATGTTTGGATCGCTTCTGGGAACGCTGCAGAAGTTCTGCCAGGAGGAGTCGCGTTTGAAAAGCAAGGAGGATAAGAAGGCCGAGATCGAGAAGAAGGTGGAGAAGCAGGAACTCCAGGAAAGAGCTTTGTTGCGGAAACAACGCGAAACGCTATTTTTAGACAGGAAACGAAAACAATTCGAGATCCGAAGATTGGAGTACAAAATGGCCAGAATGAAGGACTTCAAAGCTTGGGAAGCAACCATGGCGTATTCGAAAAGCCATATTCGAACCAAAACGAAACCACACTTGTTCTTTCGGCCAAAACAGCATTCGGCTCGAACGGAAAAACTGCTAAGTAAGAGCAAAAGTGAAGCTGATGTGTTCATAGAATGCAGGCGCGAGGAATTGGAAGTCGAGCTGAAAAACCTGGAGAACATGAGTTTTGTCAAGATGGATGATGATAACGCAATGGACGACAGCTTCTATGAAGAGCCTGACGATGAAGAGCACTTGGATAAGTGTAAGTAAACTTAAGTTTACCCCCAAAAAAGCATTAAGATAGTTTCTTAGAGTGTTAAGGTGAATCGTGAAATGATTCCTAAACAAATAAATCAGCTCCTTGATACAGTTTTTTAAGACTATTTTTGCTTTTCAAAGTAGAATTTATTTTATTTTTATAAGAAAAGTTTAAGAATAATACACAAAAAATATCGGTAGCTTGAAATGGTTTTCTTTGTCTTATCGTGTTTTTGTTACGATTAAAATCAGCTTCAACACATTTTTAATATTCAACATTCTGTTTTAATTACAGCTGCATTATATGGTAAATAAATTGGTGGAAATGAATGATGCTATTCTAGGAATAATGGATTAAAAATAATTCAAATTAATAAAATAAAAGCCAAACAATTTGTTTCACTTCAGCATATTCTTTACATAAAACAAAAAGAATCTCAATGGTTGGGGCTTAATAAAAATTTTAAAATATCTGTTTAAGGCTTCTAAGATAAATTACATTTATTGTTTGCATTCACGTGGCATTTTTGTCCACTGAAATGACATAATCTTTTTTATTATTTCCGTTTAAATTATAATTACTTTAAATATACCTAAATAGCAGAACCAAACCGACTATAATTGTATTATACCACTCCCTAAAGTGGAACTTCGCTAAGAAAATGTGCCTAGAAAGTTTAATCTGAATCTTTTACAATGCTTGTAAAATAATAAATAATAAAATGAAGCAAAAAAATAACACTTCATTTTTACAAATGTCCAAATCAGCATTGACAATATTAAGTTGCTTTCATAATCGAATTATTCTTGGAAATATTTTATTCACCTTTCCAATGCGGTGGTGATCAGCTAACTTTTATGAAACTAATTATGAGCCACATTTTTCACAGGAGTTCGGATAATACAAATTTAAGTTATACAAAAAAATGTTAAATTTATTAGTATTGAGTTGATTTAAATAGGAAGCAGAACTGTTTTTATTGATCCATAAATTGCATGATTCATCTTTTCTTATTTGGATGTGGTGTGATTACTTTGGCATTGAAAGCTTTGGATGAGCTAGGTTCTGTCAGTGGTCCGTTCATCCGCTGATGTTTCGCAGCACCCATTCGGAGAAGCTGCTGACCAGGGTATAGACCCCCGGAATGGTGGTTACACCGCACAGCGTGGGTCCGAATGCCACGATGCCGATGAGCGTGTGGACTCCACTTGCTCCGAAAATCCCGGAAGATCCGTCGTCCATGAAGGGTCCTCCACTGTCACCGCGGCACACGTCGTTCATGGGCATTCCCTGGGCACACAGGTGGTTTGGGGTGATGACAATGGGCTGCTGGAAGTTCTCGCTGAGACTAGCATAGGCGATGGCGCAGCTGGTGGTGTTCACTATGGGCAAACGGATGAAGCGCACTGCGGCGGTAGAGTTCGAGGAGTCCGTCGACCCATTATCTGCAGAAAGATCAAAGTTTTCTAATTAGATATTTCAAAAATTCGTTGCTTTAATTTGTTAATATATTGCTGTTTTAAAAATATAAAAATCAAAAACCTGGCAAAACATGTAGACCACAGCTAAAACATAGTAAGCTCCGATCTCGATTAGCTTTGGCAGCTATAATAGTCAGTTGTAAACTTCAACAGACCAGATATACACGCTATAAAGTTATTTCTAGACTCACTTTCCGGATTCCCAGTACTCCAACCGGCAGCAACTCCCGTCTGTCCAATCAGCCTGTTCCCGAGATTGGTTGACCCGTTTAAGGGTAAGCAGATGGGTGTAAAGGCTCCTGGAATGTAGAGGGATCAGTTATTGTTGAGGCAAGCATGTACACTTACCATTCGTGGTATTGATTCTGAGGAGGGCAATGTCGTTGGCATATCTGGGCTGATCGAAGTTAGGATGCACTATTACCCGCTCGATGGCAAAGGCGGTTGAGCCATCTTGATCCCCTAATCGAACATGGGATCTGTGGGAAAGCTCGGCTTAGAATATGTATATTAGACTGGTCCTTTGAACTTACAGTTCCAAGTCGCTGACCAAATTGACCACACAATGGGCGGCAGTAACGATGTGGTTGGTGGAGATTAGGGATCCGGAGCAGCGGAAGCTAATGCGGCTGTTGCCTGAAATTAGTACCATATAACCTTGTTCAGATTAAATATTTCCTCCTTTTCAACAGCTCCTCCCATCTAAATATGTGCGCATGTCCCTGTGCCGGAAGAAGTCCACCTCCTCAGGCCAACGACCCCCAATCTTGTCCATCTGGTTATCCAAGGAGCGGCGGTGGTCCAGGGGGTGGTGGTCCAGGAGGCGGTGGTCCAGGAGGCGGTGGTCCAGGAGGCGGTGGTCCAAGAGGCGGTGGTCGTGGAGGCAATGCTGGACCGAATCCTCAGAAACGACAGCCCTGTGGTCCTAAGCCGTGTGGCGGTACCCAGTGCAATAAATGCGGGAAGGGTGGTCCCGGAGGAAAAGGTGGCCCTGGAGGAAAAGGTGGCCCTGGAGAAAAAGGTGGCCCTGGAGGAAAGGGTGGACCCGAAGGCAGAAGTGCTCCCCGATCCAACGAAGGCAGAGGTCTGAGGGCCCCACCAAACAATCGAGGAGCACAGGCTCTGGGACTTGCCGCTCTGCTCTTTGCCTTTGGGGTCTTCCTCACCACGCAAATGGGACTCGTGGCCAATGAGATTGGCTGAATCTACACAGGACGGGATTGCGCGCTGGTAAGGATCTCCACAGCGCAGATTACTCAACATCACTCAAAAGCAATGGCGTTGCGTTGATTTGGGGAGGGTAATTAAATTCGAAATGGTGTATTTAACATTCCCCAAGTTGTACTCACTTCGGTTGCGATAGGCGATCCTCGCCAGCCACGGATATTGCCCCGCAGCGGCCTGTTCTCCTCCTAGCAGTCTGCTCTCCACACTTATCCCACATCCTGGAGAGTTCTCTTGGCTCACCGGGTTATTGGAGGGTAACGATGTGGTGCTTGTGGATGGAGGAGCGGGACTTGTTGCAATCGGCATGGGTGAAGTTGTGGTAAACGGCGCAAGGGGAGGACCTTGGTTCAGGTTAGAGATTAGGTCGTCCCGTAGGAAGCGCAGATCTCCGGGAAACACGATGGGCTTATCCTTGGGAGCGGGCCGCGGTGATGCCGTGTCCTGGTTGCTGTGGTCTACGTGGTAGAGGAAGTGGTGGTTCCCTGCGAATCGCCGGTCGAAGAACTCTGGTTCCACGGACTGCGGGCAATTGCGTTGCTCCTCGAAATTCCAGTAGTCGTGCAGATTTGTCTCCGCTTCCAGATAATCAGAGTGGGAGGGCGAGTGCCTACTGCCCCTGCTATCGCCCCCATCATCCCAAATCCAACGATCATCCGGCGGTGCAAAACGCATCTTCCGACTTGGCTTTGCCGAGGATGACTCATCGTGGTATTGTTTGCGAGATGTGGGGCAACAGACGAGCGGTTCGAGGCCTTGGAAGCCACAACTGGCGTCGTGCACCTTGGCGAACACAGCGGACTGCTCTCCGGAGCCATGATGGAGCAGGAGGCGGGTGAAGGTGGCACACTTCCCCAGGCGGATGCAGTGGCAGGCGGAGGCTCCGTGATCCCCTGAAACGAGAGCGGACTGGCTGGATGACAAGGCAAGAAACCAGTGCTCGAAGGTCAATGTCGGCAAGGCAATCGCGAACCAGAAAACCAGCAAACCAGAAGTGCCCCCGGCAATTACTCACTCACTTTTTTGGTTCGCCGTTTGCCATCGTTCGCGCGGTTTGTTGCCCTTCGCTTTGCCGCTGGGAATTTCTAGCCGTCGACCTTGACCCACTTAGCGGGCTGTTCTTTAATTACCCCCCACCCCGCGCACGTTCGTTTCTTGAGTCATTCGTTATTTGGGGATCCAGCGGAATACTTACCACTCAGCCACAGTACGCAGATTAACAGGGTGACAAGTTCTGAGCGCCGCATTTCGAAAAATCGAATCTGAAATTGGGAAACCGCTCACACAACGTCGTCCGACCAAGTGCGAAATTGAAATAAATTGGTTCAATCTCCGAGCCAGCATGCATATCTTACTTCCACGTCCAGCTATGTAGCTCTATTCAGATTTCGATTTCAGCGGCGACGAATCAAAACAAAAAGAGAGCTCGAAAAACCAATTATCGGGCAATAAAGTCAGCTTGGGCCAAAGCCAAAGAGCAGCCGAAGCAGACGAAGAGCAACGACATTGCCGGCTAGCTGAGTAAGCGGCTAGCAGCCAGAACAGCCCAATACAAAACATGTTTGGCTAGTAAGCCCAACTAAAGACGAAGGCGGGAAATAGGAACAAGATCGTCAGGACACCGCTTAGAATGTGAAACTCTCTTTCGTGTATTAATGGGGCTTACTTTACAATTTATGCTCTTAAGCTAGTCGATAGGTGAACGGGCTAAGGGCTACAGAGTGCAAAAGTCTGGGAGATGGGCTTACATAACTAGAAATGCATCGCTTGGAATGTCGAGTTGCCGATGGTGTACAACTAAAATACTTTACTACTCATTACGCCTTTTTATAGTCGATCGGGTTTGTCTTTAACGATCGTGCAGAGTCTAAGCCACCGGGGGTACCTCTGCAGAGGCAACTGTAACTGAAACGCTATTCTCGACCTGTTCTACAGGTTCGATGATCGGCTGCGGAGTGGGGGATGGCGATGGAGATGTATTCACCGCGATCGTTGTCACTGCAGCCGCTGGATAATGGCCATTTACATCGGCGTTGCTATTGCTATCTTCCCTGGCAGACTCTTCCACGTCGTCGTCATCAACGGGCGTCTCTTGGCTCAAGACCGCCGCCAAACGATTGTCATCTGCCTCGGGAGCTGGCTCAGTCTCTTCCCCTGCCACTGGAGCTGCGACCTCTGCCACTTCTGCCACCGCAGGCTGCTCCAGTTCAGAATCCCCGCCCTCGTCGCTCGCCCCATTTGCATTTAAATGCACGGCTACGTCGCCATTGTGCACGGAATGGGACCCTCGCAACTCATTGATGATCTTCTCCCCCACCTTAGCGTCGATTTCGCTGATCTTCTCCTGCAGCTTGCATTTGAACTCGATCGGCCACTTGGGGCTCCATTCACGGAACAGCTTAATCTGCGGACAATGAACCGTAATAAAGGGGCAGATGGAAAGGAGAACTTTCTACTACTTACGCGGCACTGGAATAGGCTCATGGGTTTGTCCTGTACGGCTGCATTGGCCAGCGAGTTAACCAGCCCATTGACTTGGGCATCGTTGGAGCAGGAGGTGGAGCCCCGGGCCAGGTACTCAACAAAAACGTACACAAAGTCATCCCGCTGCAGCTCGCTCCACTCGTTGAACCACTGGATAATGTAACGGAACTCGCCGTCTATTGATAGATTGCTCATCGACATCCCGCTGCCGTTTGTTTATATTGCTGATTCCCACGACGGTGACGCCCCCGCAAATGCTCTGTCTGGCTTTTCGGTGGATTGAGCGATGCGCTGGCACGGATTCTGGTTCTGGGATTGGTTCACTGCGATGCGGCTGCGACGACAGACTGCTGGCCAAACTGCTGAATGCTGGCGAGCGCTGAGCTCCTAAGTTACCAGTAAAAGTAAAACCCGTTTCCGCTTCTAATTTTTCCCAGCTCGGCTTTGTGTGTACTAGAGATGAGCGCCTGAGTGAATGTTTTTCACGACAAGCTCGAAAGCTCACTCACGCTTTTGGCATCAAACAATTATATTAAAATAAATATATTTTTTATAAATTCTCTGTTGCTTTAATTTAAATTATCTATTGTATTCCCTTTAATAATATATATACTAAATAAAATATATATTTAAATATACATTGCACATTATTTAATTTTTATTAGAAAATTAACTGAAAAGATTTTGACTAATTTATTTTAAGTTTTTAAAAATATATTTTCGGTAATTACTTAGGTCGTGAAACAACAATACTAAACTCACGCCCTCATCTCAAGTGTAAACCTACCTCAAAACAGCTGATAGTCGATAGCCACCCCCAAGCCTGTTATCGATTGCCCGCTCCTGCAGGGAGAGCTAAAAATTTAAGTGAACCCTTTTAAGAAAGCCGAGCTTAATGCATTTCTAAGACCAAATTGACATTGTTTTAACTATTAAGAAGCATGGCGCGCACATAATTCAAATGCTTCTATATCGATAAAATAAGCTGCGTGTTGCGCAACACTATCAGTTCATCTTGTCGTTTCCATCGTCGTTTTCCAACCCTTTGAAAATTTCAGACAGTAAATAACTTTAAGAAAATCATTTATTACAAAAAAAATATGTCTTCGTCCGAGCTGGAAATACAGAAGGCTGCTGATGGCCAGAAGGAGCACCAGGTGCCGGCAGGCGCGGAGATTACGGGGGCCAAGGAGCCGGAGGCGGATACAAATGCCAGTACGAAAGCGGAACAGGATTTTGCCGCGGCCGAGCAGTACAAAAATCAGGGAAACGCTATGCTCAAAAGTAAGTACCTCTGCCGTTCCATATGCTGTAATGCCTACAATTGTTGGACTGCGTTAATCCGTAACGCTTTCCGGGACTGCACTTTCGAGTGCCTCCTTCAACCTAACCTTAAAACAAAGGGAACCTATGGCTGTGTGCGATAATTTACAAGTCTCCCGGAACTCTGGGGGTATAATTAGTACTATTACTGACCCGCCTGCCCCCTTTCACAGCCAAGGAGTTCTCCAAAGCCATCGACATGTACACCAAAGCCATAGAACTGCATCCCAACAGCGCGATATATTACGCCAATCGATCCTTGGCGCACTTGCGCCAGGAGAGCTTTGGCTATGCACTGCAGGACGGCGTGTCGGCGGTGAAGGCTGACCCCGCCTACCTCAAGGGCTACTACCGCCGGGCCGCGGCGCACATGTCCCTGGGCAAGTTCAAGCAGGCGCTCTGCGACTTTGAATTTGTGAGTATTACCCGGCAGCCCCTTTGGTCTCCTACTGAAACACAAATGGCTTCCAGGTGGCCAAATGCCGACCCAACGACAAGGACGCCAAGCTGAAGTTTACCGAGTGCAACAAGATCGTCAAAATGCGCGCCTTCGAGCGGGCCATTGCCGTAGACAAGCCCGAGAAGACCCTTTCCGAGATGTACAGGGATATGGAGAACATAAGTCAGTAGTGCAAGCTTCCCTTCCGGATGTTAGAGAAACCTAACTGAATCCATGTCTTACAGCCATTGAGGATGACTACAAGGGCCCACAGCTGGAGGACGGCAAAGTGACCCTGAAGTTCATGAAGGAATTGATGGAGCACTACAAGGGACAGAAGCGATTGCACCGCAAATTTGCCTACAAAGTATGATTGTGACCTCGATGTGTGGAAGGCATTCAACAACGTCTATACTCGTTTTAGATACTCTGTGAGATCGATGCTTATATGCGAGCCCAGCCCTCGCTGGTAGACATCACTGTGCCGGATGAGGAGAAGTTCACGATTTGCGGCGACATCCACGGCCAGTTCTACGACTTGATGAATATCTTCGAGATTAATGGCCTGCCCTCCGAAAAGAATCCTTATTTATTCAATGGCGATTTCGTGGACAGAGGATCCTTCTCCGTGGAATGTATATTCACATTGTTCGGGTTCAAGTTGTTGTATCCTAATCACTTCTTCTTGTCACGCGGTAAGCTTTACTGACTAGTAAGATGTAAAAAGAATAATACTTGAACTATTTATACCTGATTGTAGGCAACCACGAGAGCATCAACATGAACCAAATGTATGGATTCACTGGCGAGGTGACAGCCAAGTACACCAGCGCCATGGCGGATATATTTACCCAAGTGTTCAACTGGCTGCCGCTGTGCCACTGCATCAACCAGAAGATCCTGGTGATGCACGGCGGACTCTTCTCCACGGACAACGTGACCCTGGACAATATACGGCGCATCGAGCGCAATTGCCAGCCGCCCGAGGAAGGCCTAATGTGCGAGTTGCTGTGGTCCGACCCACAGCTGTGGATGGGCCGAGGGCCGTCGAAGCGCGGCGTGGGCATTCAGTTCGGCCCAGATGTTACCGAGACGTTCTGCAAGAACAACAATCTGGACTACATCATTCGAAGCCACGAAGTGAAGGATATGGGCTATGAGGTTGCACACAACGGTCAATGCATAACAGTCTTCTCAGCTCCGAACTATTGGTAAGCCTACTCACTAGATCGGTAGAGCACGAGGTAAATGTGACCTTTTTTATAGTGATACCATGGGCAACATGGGCGCATTTATTACCATAACGGGTAACAACTTGAAACCAAATTACAAATCATTCGAGGCTGTGGTAAGTACAGTGCATTGCAATAAATCACTCCTTAAGCCCATTACAAACGCAATCTTTTCAGCCACATCCCGACGTCAAGCCCATGGCGTATGCCAACAGCCTAATGAACTGGCTGGCGTAGTCAGTTTCAGATTAAATTCAATAGCTAAACACATACTCCCACACACCACACAAATTTACAAACAGCTTGAGAACCCACAACCGCAGAGCAGCCCAGCTTGAAACGATCAAAGGAGAGGCAAAGGATTTGGAGATGCTCAATAGACTATGCACACTGCGAGCTGCTTCACTACTTAAGTACGAGTATTGCGAGTCAATAAGGCGAAGGAGGAGAGAAGGGCGTGGAAAGGATCACGATCACAAATACAGAACAGCAATCATTTTACAAATTCAGCTATATTTGATACAGAACGAAATGTTATAGTGTATAGTGGCTTTAGAAGTCGGATGCTAAGTTTTATCGGTGCCAAGCATCTGCGGTTCCACTTGTAAGTGAAAATTTAAAAGAAATGTTTGTTTATGCATAGCATTTAGTTATGGCTACCAAAACATAATATACGAGTACATATATAAATTTCTACTTCAATTTTGTTTGTTCCAAACGCTTGATTTGTGTATAAAAACAGTTTTGTTCAACCCTTGCCTTGTTTATATGATAAAAAGTCATTTTAATAAAAAACTATTCAAGTTAGATACCTCAATACTAATCCTTCAATTTTTTCAATCCAAAAACTATTGCATACTCTTCTGACATAAGTAACCACTATGTATCTGATCTGGTCAAAGTATCCGAAATTGCATAAAAAAGACACCTAGCATTAGAGCCTGTAATGTTAATCGAGTGAACAGAAATCAGAATAGAGCAATTGTGAAATAATAAAAACGGTCTGTTCTTTATTAATCAAGGTCGTGTCCATTAGCTATGCTGAAGCCCATTACTCCGAAGATGTGGCTAACATTAGCCTGGTAGTCTTTGAGATGGGCCCTCTGCAAGAGTGTCACATAGACGAAGGGACCATTGTAGGCAACCAATTGAAGGAAGAACTCTCTGGCCGGCGTCTGAAGCTGTGGTGGCTGTACCGTCGATAGGTAGAGCGCCACGGTGGTCATCAGCTCGTGCAGATGTTTTCCCTCTATCTGCAGGCCGAGTATAAAGTCGGCTAGACTTTGGAGCAGCTTCAGCTGAAGTTTGTACTCCTGCGTCTGGACCTGTGGGATTTCCATGCTGCTGTGCTGGCTAGCCGCTTTCAAGAAGTGCTTCAATTGAGGTATCACATCGCTGAAAGACCCAACGATACAGTCAAGATGCTGCAGTTGATCGTTCAAAAAGCACTTACCTGAGACTTCGTTTCAGTATAAAATCCTTGGCATGAACGCCCAGCAAGTGCAGCAAGGTGAAGCAACGATTGAGCACCAGTGCGTCCTTCTGCCGAAACTTTTCTACGAGCGGTTGCCACACCAGGTGCACCAGTGGCAGCAGCTCGTTCTCATAGTCCGCCAGCAGTGGCAGTCCGCTGGAGAAGCATTCGAGGGCTGCAATCTGTTGCGCCTGATCCGCGGTGGAAATGAACTTGATTACCTGACCCAGAATATCCTTTACCATTTCGACATGGCGCGGGAGAACAGGCTTCGTGGGTTGTGGTTCCGTGTCATCTGCATCTTCTGCCTCATCCTTCGCTGGCTCCTCGGTCATGTCGGCGTCGCCATTCAGGTCCTCCAACAGTTGCGGCCTGTTCAGCACACTTATCCATGTGCTTAGGACACTGTGCTCCTCATCCACTTGCATTGCAAGCTCTGAATTAAGCTCGGCCGCTGCATCAACTTGCCAAAGGGAAACATGATTGAGGAATGCTTTAAAGACGCGCAAATAAGAGTGCACATTGGTCGACTGGTGCGACTTGGAGCACTCCTCACGTATGGTATGGAATAAGCTGTCCAGGTGCGGCACATTGCCCCTGGTGCTGTACTGCAGCACCACGGTGAGAATGTCCACTGCGGCGGTGCTATCCGGCGATCGTTTCAGCAATGCGTTCAGGTGAAAAGTGATGTAGTCCGTGGAGCACTCGATGAAGTGAGAGGGTTCTGCATATCTTAGAGCTAGCTGCATCGAAACGAACGCAAAACTGGCCGCCTGGTGTACAATAGTGTTACTGCTAGCCACTTTGAGAAGTACTTTGTGCAGACTCAGAAATATGTGTCGGTCGAAGGTGTCGCCAATGAACCTGGCACAGTGGCCCACTGCGTCCAAAATGAAACAGGTGTGCAGAACATTAAACTGGGCGTCTGCAATGGTCACTCGGCTGCCAACCACCTCCGCCTGCTCGTCATCGGAATCGCAGTCCTGGGTGCGAACCTCTACTGCCGACGAATAGAGCCCAGGAGTACGTTCCTCAAACCAATGAGTGGGCTAAATAAAAGTGTTGCTATAGAACTTTTCTAAGTTTGGGTAACTCAATCTCACCTTGTGGACCTTGAGGCGCCAAGCTGCGTCCGGCTGAATGGCTAGGTTCCAGTGCTCGTCGCGAAGGATCTGGTCAAGAAAGAGATTAGCCAGCACCAACCGACTTTCACGGGCCTTTTTCTCCGGCGACGTAACCATCAAAGTTAAAAGTAAAATACACTCATTTATGGACGAGGATCTTTGCTGAATGAGCTCTTGACAGTGATCGAAGATAAGTCGGTTAAGAGCAGGCTGAGCACCCAAAAGGGCTCCAATATCGTATAGGATGTCTACTGTGCGCTTTGAGGCCAGATGCTTGAACTGCCGCCAAGGCAGCTTGGCCAGCTCGGCAGCAAGGGCTTTGGAATCTCCCTCTCGGATGCGACGGAGAGCGTACTCCTCGTTTAGAAGATCCCTGGTGGTCCGCTGGTCGAGAGCTGCCAGCAGACAGGTCACAAACATCTCCAAGTTCTTGGGCACCAGCAGCAGCAGCTGCAGCTTGTCGGCATTGACGTTGCGCAGAAATCCCTTGAAGAAAAGTAGCTCGGCGAACTGTTCGTTGTCTTCGCAGCGGTGCAGGATGCGCGGCCACTTGTTGAGGTGCGCATCTAGCAACATCTCTGCATTCTCATCGAATATGCCCTGGCTACTGGGCTGCTGCTGCAGCAGAAGAAGAGTGTCCCTGCACCGCTGGGCAATCTTTTCATTCTCGTCCTCCGACAGGGCCAACACGCTCTCCAGTATGTGGATAAAATTGCTCCTCAGATTGTGGGCACAGTGCTTGAGCAGCAGGCAACACATGTCGGAGTAGTTTTCCCGTACCCTCAGGGCGGTGTGGGCCCGCAGAATGCTCGTCTCCACAAAGATGGGTCGGAGACGTCTCGAAGTGGCCGCCACCCATTTGACCGATCGCAGCTCTGTTTGCATTTGATGTAGGCGCTCCTCAGTCTGTTCACTGGTGGACTTTTTGTTGCCGAAAAAGGCGAAATCATTTTGCTCACCCAGACTATCCTGGGAGCTATTGAATAGCTTTCGAAAGGCATCCACATCGTAGCGCATTTTCATGAACTCATCAGTGGTTTCTTCGAACATGATGCAGATGATGCGTCCCAGGGCTTGAATGGCCATCTGAGCATAATAATATTATTACTTTAAATGAATGTCTCGGAGGGGTTTTGAGTTAACTCACCGCTTTAATGGTTTCGCCGACCGTTTCGTCTTTCATGGTTGTTTTAAACAGTACGATAAGGACCTTGGGTAGGAAAATGAATATGGTGTTGGCCACCTGACTGCGCAGCACCACATCCACGTGATCGGCTTCGTCATGGACGTAGAATACCAGCATTAGGCACTGGATGGCTGCCTGGACAAGCTTTCGGTACTTTTCCTGCTCTATGATCTCCAGAAGCATGATCAGTATCTGGCCAATCATCATCGCAGTCTCCTTGGTGTAGAATGACTCCACCACATCGGTGGTGGAGCGACGCAGTGCCTCAAATATGCACTGAATGGCGGCCAGTTTAATTTCCTCAGAGAGATTTGGTCGCATGACGGCTGCCTTGGAGTCGCGCACCTGCTGCAGAACCACCACCAGGATGGAGCGCAGGCCCTTTTCATCCACCAGATAAGTTTGGGACACAATTCTGCTCAGGCAGTTCATCAAACTGGTGCGCAGCTCCTGGCTCTCCCTGCAATAAACACTGTAATCTGAGCGGGGAATACCAAGTGGAAGGAGGTCTCTTACCCGGTCAACTCATCCAGTTTGAGCACCAGAGGCACCACCGTTTGCACCTGGTAAATGCGCATTTCCCCAAAGTTGAATCCCTCGATTTCGCGCTCCACCAAAGACAAAGTGTCCTTGCTGGGTGCCTTCATGAAACCCTCCACAGCAGGCTTTATCTTCGTCACGTACCGCTCCAGATGCATCATCTTGGCAGCCGGCAATCAATATCCAAAAAGAATTCAAATAACGCCGAATCGAAACCCGGCAAAATCCGCAAAGGAATTTTTTTGAACCAACAGCTGTTCTGAGCAGTCACATGTAACGCGCGCAATCGAACCCTACCGCCCCACCACCCCCTACCGCTATCGAAAACTATCGGTTTTTTAGAATTGCGCGCCAAACAGACAAACCATTTAAATATTTGTTTTACTAATTTCTTGTCGTGTTTTTTTTTTTAGTTTAGATTTTACCCAATTTAATTGTTTAACTAAAAATTTTAAAATTTAAGATTATCATGGTCATTTAATGCTCTAAATATTAAATCGATGATTAGATAAGATTTGAAATATGGTTAAATTATTTAACTATAGAACTCATATTGAGCTTCGTCCTTGCGCACGCTAGTCTTGTAGCCCTTCTCGAAGTCCTTGGCATTGACGACATAGCGATTCTCACGCACCGCATGCATTCCCGCCTCCTGGCAAATGGCATTAATGTCGGCATTGGAGATCTTGTCCGGGCGCGCTATTAAGTCCTCCAGGTCAACATCCTCGCCCACATTCATTTTCGAGGTGATTGTGGTGAACACCAGTCGCTTTTGGCGACGATCCGGCAGTGGAAATTCTATCTTGCGATCTAGGCGACCGGGACGCAAGAGGGCAGGATCCAAGGTGTCAGCGCGATTGGTGGCCATGATGACCTTAATGTTGGCGGTCTCGTCGAAGCCGTCCATCTGGTTAAGCAGCTCCAGCAGAATGCGCTGAACCTCGCGATCCGCCCCTGTCTGGGCATCGAAGCGCTTTGTGGCAATCGCGTCGATTTCGTCAATGAAGATGACCGATGGAGAATTCTGCTTTGCCAAGCGGAAGAGATCCCGCACCATGCGCGGTCCCTCGCCCAGGTACTTCTGGACGAACTCGGAGCCCACGACGCGGATGAAGGAGGCCGTGGTGTGATGGGCCACCGCCTTGGCCAGCATGGTCTTACCGCATCCAGGAGGGCCAAAGAGGAGCACCCCACGCGGCGGATCAATACCTGGAAGCGCTCCTGATTAGTCAGGTGCTCTATAAATATGGGACTAACATACCAATTTGCTTGTACAGCTGGGCGTGGGTCAGAGGTAGCTCTACGGCCTCACGAATCTCCTGCTTCTGCATGTCCAGACCACCGATGTCCGAATAGTTGACATCGGGTCTCTCTTCAGGCGACAACATCGATATGGTGCTATCAGCCTCCGGCGGCACCAGGTCCACCAGGCAGTTACTCTGCTTATGGAGCGCCACCGACGAGGATGGCTTCAGCTGCTCCCTGTCAATGGTGGACAGGACGCGCACATAGTAATTGGAGCCAGTAGTGGAGGCCACTATGCCATTGTTCTCGTCCACCGCCTCCAGAAACTGGCCAATTACCAGGGGAACGGCCTTTATGCGCTCCACCTCCTCCTGGGCGTGTATGAACTCCTTTTTCAAGTTGCGCTGCTCATCCTTGATGTAATCCTCCTGCACCTGGATGAGCTCCAGCTCCATCTGGAGCTTCTTGTAAAGCACATACAGATCATGTGGCTCTAGACCCTCGTATTTCTGCAAGGTCTGCTGATGGAACAGAGCAATTTCCTCTTTTAACAGGCGCATTATTCTCAAATCGCTACAACGGTTTGGAAAAAAGGAGAATGACTTGAATATTCAAAAGCTAATCAGGGTGGAGTTGGGTAATTATCGATAACAGTTAGCTAGCGCTCCGAATGGCAAAAGTTGAGAAGCCTATGTGACAAGGGCGTAGTTTAAATACATTTTGAGAGGATATTCATTAAATAAACTGTTGAGGGTTTTGTATTAAAAAGCTGCTCCCTATCAATGGTGTCTTACTATTAAAATGCGCTTAAAATTTAAATTTTTAAAAACCATCTTTATGCAGATTATGTTTTACAATTAAAAACCATTGAAGGTTTCCACAATTAGTCAAAAGGGGCTATAACCCTACATTACCCACTTATGTTTGCGTTGCAATGTGAACGGCAATCAGCTGTTGAACGGACCTGTTGTTTTTTCTTGCTCTTGCTTTTGTTGTGGTTGCTTTTCTGTTTCCGATCCGACGTGGAACGATCTATTTATATATCTATTTTGGTTTATTTTGGAACCACATAATCTGTTCGTCGTAGGACATATATATGCTTAAACTTTGGCACTTTCTGTGAGGCGGTTAAACGTTTCTTCAAAGGAAGGCTGCGAAATACCAACGTTGTGCAACGCCGGCTGGGATTAGAGATTTGATAATAGATTGCATCGACCAGACAGGATATATATATAGTTTCGACAACCAAGAACATATAGAAAAAGGTGTCAAAAAAGAAATGGCCATTATGTAACGGACCGATTACTGCTCCAGCATCATTAGTACACTAGCGACACCCAAAGACCGGACATCACCATGGACACCCTGGTGTTTCTGACGGCGGCAGCCCATCTGGTCTACACGCCTTTTACAAAAGTGGAGGAGAGCTTCAATCTGCAGGCCATGCACGACATTCTGTATCTGCGCAACAACTTTACGCAGGTATGCTGGATGAATTCCCCTAATCTCATGCCAATTCACTAATCCCATCTCTGCTTTCTCTTTAGTACGATCACCATGATTATCCGGGTGTGGTGCCCCGCACCTTCATCGGACCGCTGGTGGTGTCCATGATCTCCGCCCCGTTCGTCCTTCTCTTTGAGACTCTGAACATCAACAAGTTCTGGGCCCAATATGTAGGTAAAAGCAGCTTTTTAACCGCAAAGTCGCCAGTACTAAAACCAACTTGATTTTAAAGTGCGCCTTGTCCTGGCTGCAGCCATCTCCGTGGCCTGGAATAAGCTGCGGCAGGCAGTGACCAAGATTTACGGCGTAGAGGTGCGCCTGTGGTACACCGCCATCACCATCACGCAGTTCCACTTCATGTTCTACATGACAAGGCCACTGCCCAACATATTTGCCCTTCCCATAGGTGAGTGTGAGCGGTGGCTTGCGAACCCAATCTAATAAAATATGGATTTTTGTAGTGCTCTTTGCCATTGCCTATTGGCTGCGCGACCAGCACAAGCCATTCATCATATGCTCTGGCATAGCTATCCTCGTCTTTCGGTCTGAGTTGGCTCTATTTTTGGGTCTCTTGCTGGTAATCAGCCTGCTACAGCGCAAATTCTCCATTGATAGGTGAGGTGATCGATCTTTTTATTTACTATTTAATACTAATTGGTTTATTAATAGGCTGCTGAAGATTGCGCTGCCAGCAGGGGTTTGCATTTTGGCCGCCACCGTGCTGGTGGACTCGTTCTTCTGGCGCCGCCTGCTCTGGCCCGAGGGCGAGGTGCTATGGTACAACACCATCCTCAACAAGAGCTCTAACTGGGGCACGTCGCCCTTTCTGTGGTACTTTTACTCGGCTCTGCCACGGGCCATGGGCGCATCGTTGGTGTTTGTGCCTATCGGTGTTGCTCTGGAGCCACGTATTCGACCACTGGCTCTGTCAGCCCTGCTCTTCGTCCTGCTCTACTCCGTTCTGCCCCACAAGGAGCTGCGGTTCATCATCTACGTGTTTCCAGTGCTTAACATAGCCGCAGCTTGCGCCTGCCAGCGCATGTAAGTGCACCATGGTTTACTCATCAGTGGGTTAATACTATTAAATGATTTATTCCTTCTTTTAGTTGGATGAACAGCGCCAAGTCGAACTGGCATAGCTTCCTGGCTCTCGGCTGCGGAGCTCATCTCCTATTAAATGTCTTCATGACGGTCTTTTTGCTTGTTATTTCGGGCACTAATTATCCGGGCGGAGCTGCTCTTTCCCGCTTGCATCGCTTGGAGGCAGGCTCTCCGAACGTCTCCGTGCATATTTCCAATTTGGCCGCCCAGAGCGGGGTATCGCGCTTCATGGAAATACACGATGAGTGGACCTACAGCAAAGACGAGTCCATGAACTACACTCAAGCAGATTTGGAGATGTACACCCACCTTTTGGTGGAGGCCAAAAACAAGCAGAACACGGATCTGTGGGCATCGCTTCAAAACGAGTTTGATACTCTGGAGTTTGTAGACTGTTTCAACAGTATTGGCATCCAATACAACTCATTGCTGCCGGTGCGAATTAAAACAAAGCCATGCATTGGAATTCTCAAAAAGCGGTGGGTTCCTCCCAAGGAAAAGACAAAAATAAAAGAAAAAAAGACGAAACCTACACCACCTGCAGTCGAGAAAGTAACTCCTTTGCCGCCAATGGAAGAAATTCCAACGAAAAGAGAGGAACCGAAGATTAAACCGAACTTTCAAGTGAATCTAGATGACGACGATGGCATTGTGGCGACTGTAGAAGAGATGTCTTTAGAGCTAGACACGATAATTGAACCTGAAGCTGAGGTGGAAGCTATTGAGACGCCCGCCAAGGAAATAAACTTCCAGGAGCTGCGAAGCCTCGCCATGGGTCAAGCGAACAAAAAATCGAGAGCAGCCACCAAGATGAAAATACGAAACATTATCGAGCAGCACTACCGCGCCAAGGGAAAACAAATCGAAACCGACTCCGCTGAACAGACTCCAAAAACCCCAGTGGCACCTAGTGGAAGACCAGGAACACGCCAGTCCGTGAAATCTATTATTAAGCAGGAGAAGATTAAGGAAATGATCGAGCAAATCGCAACAATGGACCTGACTCGCATCTGCGATTTGGAAAAAACATCGACCAAGGACTGTTTGAAACAGGTCATTGACAAAATAGATGATGGCGAGGTCTTGAAACCCAAATAACAAGGCCTAACCAATTTGGAAGTGTTTCTAAGACTTAAGTGTTTTTAATAAAAATTTTTTTAATAAATGACACATTTTTTCTTATTTGAAGATTCTTACAATTATTTAAAACGAGAAAGAAAATTCGAAGTGCTTATACCCTGGCAGCTATTTCAAAAATAAAATATTCTATAGAACGACTACATTTCCATATTTATGCATATATTTTAAAAACGATGAGGCTATGTCGATTTCCACCGAATTTTTCGATTGTTCATATAGCTGATATGATATTCTCTTCCAATTTTTAAAAAATATATAAACCATAGTTCTGAAGTAGTAAACTGTCTTGTATAAATTAAAAAACAGCGAACTAAAATTGTGTTGTTCCTATTATTAAAAAAATCTAGTATTTCGAAAATTTTGAAAGTGCCGTTAATTGAAATCAACGTTTGAGTCACTAAGCGTTCACGATCTAATTGATATTCTCGTTCTTAGAATGTGATCGATGCATATATATAAATGAAAACTAATAGGACTTCAATTAAAATGTGTTTTTTAAGCCTAGTGGTTGTTTTCAAATATTACTCCTTTTTAATTAAAGATATACCTATTTTAATACTTCGATACATATTCTGAATGTTTAAAAAACAATACAAAACAAATACCTTCGTGATTCGTGACTACGCATATCGGCCCATCACTAGCATGAACGCGACATTTAAATTAATAGCAGTGGAAACACTTCAATTTTTTGGCAGCCAAATCGAAATTAAAAATTCCCAGAAGCTGTTATCTATTTAATAAGGTGTGATAAGCCGGCAATTAAAGATTGCGCCGCATGCGCATCACCCAAAACTTCTGCAGTCGTGTACTTACGCAGCAAACCTCCCACGCACTCGCAACCACCCCCAATCATATGTTTTCTTATCACCTTCAGGTTGACCTCCGCCTCAGTCGAACCACGGAATTTGGAAGGAAAACAGTGCGCTGCCATGGAGCTGACTGGATGGGTTAAGAACTACGACTGGGGCCGCAAGGGCATCAACTCCGCCGTGGCCCAGCTGGCCATGGCCAACGATCCGGACTTCCGGCTGGACGAGGATGAGACCTACGCGGAGATGTGGATGGGCACCCATGTGTGCGGCGTGTCCGTGGTCAAGGAAACCGGCGAGACCCTGGACCGGGTGCTGAAGCAGGACCTGTCGTACCTGTTCAAGGTGCTGAGCATCAACAAGGCGCTCAGCATCCAGGTGCATCCGAACAAGTGCGAGGCGGAGCGCCTGCACAAGGAGCGCCCGGAAATCTACAGGGATCCCAACCACAAGCCGGAACTGGCCATTGCCCTGACACCTTTTCTGGCTCTGGTGGGATTCATGCCGGCCAAGGACATCCGGGACTACATCGACGAGTTCCAGCCACTCAGCAAGCTGATTGGCAAGGAGGCCGTGGACCAGCTCCACGACGCACCCAATGGTGAGAGCATTAAGCTGTGCTACGAGAAGCTGATGAAGACGGAGGAGGCGGCCATAGCCAAGTGCATCAATGAAATAGCCAGGGATTACCAGAAGGGTGAGGATATCTAGTTTGTAATTGGTAAAAAGCCCTCTCTAAACGATCTTTACTAACAGAACTGAAGTCCAACGATTTGCTGGAGGTGTTCACGAACGTGAACAGGGATTTTCCCGGCGATGTGGGCGTGCTGTCACTGTTCTTCCTTAACCTGATCCGCCTGAAACCCGGACAGGCCATCTACCTGGGCGCCAACGAGATCCACGCCTATCTGGACGGCGATTGCGTGGAGTGCATGGCATGCTCGGACAATGTGATACGCGCCGGACTCACTCCCAAGTACAAGGACGTGGACCAGCTGCTGGACTCTGTGATCTTCGAGAGCAACCGCAAGGAGTTCATCCCCTACCGCGTCGATGAGCAGGTCCAGGTGTATATTCCGCCAGTGTCCGATTTTGCTGTGATTAATGTGAACATTGATCACACCCTGGAATCGTACAAGCTGGAAATCCAAGCCTTCGGCTCTATACTGATAGTCCTGAAGGGATCCCGCACCCTTAAGCTGAAAACCAAGGAGGGAGTTAAGGAGATCGTGGTCACACGTGGCAGCATTGTGTACATTCCCGTCGAGGCAGCTCCGGAAATCGAGTTCGCCCAGGCCGAAGATTGCGATGAAGACTTCAGCGGCTACATAGCAACGAGCAACTACTTTCGAGCGGCCTAAAATTCTTAGTTAATCTTAATCTTTTTTAAAGTGCAATAAATCCATAAACACTGGTTGCTGGTGAATTAATTTATTTTCAAATAATTGCAATTTAAGAGCTAATAATGTAAGCTAAAGTGGCAATAGTAGCGATAAATAAGTTATCTAATCAATTGGCTATACTCGTCCGTAATACATAGATATAATAGTTAACGAGAAATATCTTGCGCACAAACAGGTAGTTTCCTAAATATTTGGGATTATTGCAATCAACAATTTCATTTACTTAGGCTACAGCTACGAAACTCGTTCGGTTACATTCACTGGGGATTAAGAATTAAATATATATATACGAAGCAAGAGGTTCGAGTGCAAATCTAGAGTAATTCAATAGAATCGGTGCTTGGACTGTTGGGCTTACGAAATGCCCGATTACATGGCCTACTTAAAAAGGGTTAACAATGGAGAACATAAAATTGGCTACGATATGATACCGCCCGTCTTTGTTTAGCTTTCGGTGCCCGGGGGGTTGCGGTGGTTCTACGAATTGTAAATACATCAATTCACGTATATATCCATCTCAGCAGTTGCTTGGTTTGATTTCACAAAGTTCGGTAAAATGCTCAAAAAGTTTGTACCAAAAACGGAGTACATCATACGGTAAATCTCATAATAAAATTGTTTCCGGCAACTTGTGGTTGCCATTTGTACACGAGTGTAGTAATAGTAAGTAGTTAGCATTTCGGTTTGCATATATATATATGTAGTTGTAGAAAGTAGTTAGCTCATCCGGCTGGTGGTGCTTGTAAGTAGATGGGTCAGTTACGTTTGCTTCTGCCAGGAGTAGTTGCTGGTGGCTACTTGTATATGTATATAATATATGGTATAAATAACGTAAAACCACCTGCTACGGTTTGTGCCCACAACATTGGTTTGTTCCCCTAACATGATAGAAGTGGAGGTGACTGGCTATCGTGTTCGCTATTGGCTCGGGACGTGTCCTTTGTGCATATTTAACTCTTGAGCAGGTTGTTGGCGCGCTTGTTGACGCCGTCCATGCGAATGTTGTTGGCATCGCCCTTGGCGTTGATGCGGTCCACCTGCTTGTTCTGGTTCTCCAGCTCGGAGCCCATGTCCAGGGCCATGTTGCGCAGGTTGCCCAGCATGGAATTGACCTGTCCCAGGTTCTCGTCCATCTCGTCCTCGCGTGCATCGTTCGTAATCCTGGCCACATAGCCGGACTGCGGTGGAGCACCCATGCCGCCGCGTTCCCGCTCGTCGATGACCCGCTGCGGCTGGCTGGCCACGATCTTGCCATCGTCGTTGGCCTTCCAGGCGCTCTCCCCGTCGTCCTTAATGTTCACCTTCTTCCAGGGCAGCACGCAGATGCCGCAGCACTTCTCCATGCCGCTGAGATTCTTCTCCGCCTCCCGCATGTCCGCGTTGATCCGGTCCATGCCCTCCTCAATGCGGTCCAACTGCTCGCCCTGGTCGTCCAAGGCCACCAGGGTGCGGATGCCGGCCTCCTTGCTCTCGTCCATCAAGCTGAGCATCCGACGCGTGCTCTCCAGGGACTCATCCGCCACCTGGCCGGACTTGAACTGCAGCTCCTGCAGCTCCGTGCGGGGTTCGGCATTCTCCACGGCGGCCATTTCCGGACTATGTGATGAGATAGATAACTTGTGCGCTTAGCAAGTGGTTGCGAGGCAAGACGTTCGTCTTGTTGTGTTTTTGGGTGGGGAAATCTGGCCAGTGACTCACAGTCGCAAAGTGTGATGTGATGCGACCTTTTGAGATGATTCAGGTGTGACTACGCTGGATATGTACTTGGGGCGGGGTTAAGCTCGTTTGTGCTCGCTAAATAGGAACTAAATTCACGAGTTTTATTAATTTCTTTGCAAAAAATCGGATTTTTCACACACAACACAATGCCAATTTGTATACATATGAGAACTAGAGTGACCGTGGTGGGGCGATGCGTGTAGGCATACCTTGAGTGCAGACCCTGACAGCCCTGCTTGCCGGCTGTCGTAAGTTTAATTTCTTTTATTTGAGGTCTTTGTTAAATAATTATAAAGTAGTATTTATTTTAATTAACATACTTATGTAAGGTTCAAATAAACTTAAAGGTTTTCCGTGCTTAAAATTTACAACGCATAACAGTGTGACCAGCCACTTAAGGTCGACCATAGACACAAACCGTGGTTTAAGTCTGCGCTCAAACTTATCTAGGCATTTATTTTTAGAAATTTGTTTGATCAAGTTACTGAGTCAGCAAATGTTAAACAAGCCGACTTCAAATAATTTAAATTTCAACTAAGCTCCATAGCTTTTTGTTCAGTAATTAAGTATATAACGTTTTTTATTATATCGAGGCCACCAATTTTTTTTTCGACGCCGTTGCGATCTTCATTGCGCGCGCAGTGTTGAAAAGTGTGTTTGAAATATTAACGCTTTGTTTTTTTCTGGTACAGCGTCGGTTTTCTGCTGCTCCTTTCCCAAATTCTATTATTAATTGCCAGTTTAGTTCTTATTAACGTTCGCGTGGCCAATTAGGCAGATAATATAAGCAGTTATGGACGATTCGCGCAGATCGATGGCGGGAAAGGCAAGTATAATGAGGTTTCGGTCCGTTTCCCAGGAATGGATTTGACTGGATCGACAGTACTAAGACCGTTGATCGTAATAACACACCTTGATCCCCCTGCAGATCGATTCCCGCCGCTCGTCGATGGCGACCAACGATGAGAGCGTTACAATGTACCTCTCCTTTGACGCGGACGACACTCTGTCCAGCAAGTGGCAATCTGCAATGGTCACACAGAGCAGCCAATACTTGGAGGTGCACAACAGCAAGCTGGAGGCCAACGTGGAGAAGGTTTCGGAAGACCATGATCTCAGGCGCTCCGTCCTGAAGGATCTGCAGCAGCTCGCCATTGGCGAACCGGACCAAAGCTCTCCACTTCGCCCATTTGACAAGAGTATACTCAACCTGCACAACGCCTTGTGCTCCACTCCCTCTAAGGACAAACCTCGGGCCGACTCCGTTCCACAGATTTTGACCATGGACCTGACTAATGTGGACGACAAGGAGAACACCCAGCCGGATGAGGATAACCATACTGGCGGCGAAAACTCAACGCTGTCCAGTTCCGTGGACTTGACCGCCAACACGGTGAAGGCCAACACCCTGAAGACCGAGGACGCCACCATGGATGATGTCTCAATGCAGGAGACCCCCAAGCCCCAGGCTCCAAGCCAAGTCTATCCTTTGAGCGCCAACGTGGTTCTGGAGAACATAACTGAAGGTGAGTTTATATCCTTAAAGGAGTAAACCGATCCTAACCGTCTTTGCTTTGCAGTGTCCAATGAAGGTGTGTCCATGCTGGCCTCGCCAACTGAAAAGGAGGTGCCCCAGGTCACAGAGGTGGTAAACGAAGTCACGGAGTTAATTGCCAAAGCATTGAAAATCTCCGCCGACTCTGTCAAGCCATCTTCTTCAAAATTAAAAGTAGAGGTGGGCAAAAAGAGGCAGTCCATGTCTTCCACCAATTCGGGCGCCTTGCCACGCCCGCGACGCTCGTTTCTGCCTACCACCAGTGCCGAAACCCGCACATACTCATTCAAGCAGCGCATGTCGGTTGTGGTCAAGACCACGCTTAATAGTCCAGCCCGCAAGCTGAGTGCGGGCGGCGGCTTGGCAGTGAACCGCCGCAGCTGTTTGCCAGTGTCCAAGCTTACAAAGGCTACCAATCGCAAGTCGCTCGCTGTCACCAGCAGCCGTTCGCCCCAGAAGATCACACCCAAGCTAGCCAAACCTCCGGCCAAAAGCATTCCGGACTCTGTATTTAACTGCAAGTCTTGCGGAACCAACTTTCGCTTAAAGTCACTGCTGGATATGCATATGCGTGCGCACGACTTGGTGGACAACGGACCCAAGACGCTGAAGCGTCTGAATACCAATCCAGCTGGGGCGGGCGTCTCCAAGAACCGCTGCAAGTTCTGCGACAAGAACTTCGCCCTGGAGCGCGCCCTGCACATTCACTTGATGCAAAACTGCGACAAGATCCCGCCGGCCGAGAAGCGCAAGCTGCAGTTCACCGAACTGAACCACGAGAAGAAGGCCCAGCTGCCCAAGATCGGTGCCATCAGTGTTGTTCCCGCACCAGTGCCTGTGCCGCAGAAGCCTCAGCACCGCATGAGCACGATTCCAAAAATGGGTAATATTTTCTACTATCCAGTAAGCACATCAGTTAATAAGGGTTACCATTGAGTTTAATCAAAATATAATTTAGTTGGACAAAACTCTTTTCCCTTAACTGGTGCTTAATAAAATTATTTGCAAGACCTTTTAGTAACCTTATTTGTTTTCGCAGCTTCCTCGAAAATGGCTCAGCCAATGGCCCCGCCGTCCGTAAAGAAGATTCCCAAGAATGTGGCGCATGCCGGCGTTTACCGTACTCCCACTAAGTCTGTGCCCTGCCACATCTGTAAGCAGTCCTTCAAAAGCATACTCGAGTTCACCAACCACAGCCTGACTGTGCATGCAAAGAGCCAGCCGCAAGAGGTGACCGGCGGTGAGGATGCACAGAGTGCCAAGGATTAAATCAAATGATTCGTGTGTAGCCTAGTCTAGGTCTAAGTTTAATGTAATTTAATCTCTCCCAGTTTAAATGCACATTAACATTATCACTTGCTTTTCTTTTCGGGCGGTGGCTTCATGTCCACACCCTCTGTTTTGATGTCCAGGGGACCTGTGGCATTGTTCATTTCAGAGGCGTTTCCTGCAGCGTTCAACTCATCGCCCGCTGGCAGGGGCTGCTGGAGATTCTGCAGCATCGGCGGTATGGGCGGAGGAAATTTTCGCAGTAGTTCGGCCAACAGCATGTCCACACGCTGCTTCTGGAACAAAGTTCCGCTGTTTTCATCCTTCGCCGAGCTGGCGTCCTTCTTGTCCGACTTGGATTTGTCAGATACTGCAGATATAACAATTGATTAGATTATTTTTTAAGAACTAGTGATCTACATACAAACTTTGTTGGAGGAAAAGTCCCAGGTGTAGCCCTTGTTGGGATGGTAGCGGGCATAGCTGCTGGCTTCTTCGAAGGCGGATTGCAGATTCACCACGGTGTTGAGCTGGAAACGAAACGATTACTAAGATAGCTCAATTATGCATGCTTGTACACTTACGATTCGGGCATTGATGACGTTGGCCAGATCGGGCGCCTTGTAGACGGTGCCTCCGATAATGTAGTAGTCGGCTATGGGAGTGGCCTCGGAGGGATTGTGACGGTGCTGCTTGCGGATCACATAGAGAATGGGCTCAGCGACATGCAGCAGGATGTACTCCAGGCCGATCATGTTGCTGGGGGGAAATATGGATTAGTTTTTAATTTGTTAGATGACAATGGCGAATTGACCTACTGCAGGTGCTCCGGACCTAGGCGCTGCATCCGAACGGTCTCGTTGTTGCACATGTGGTCGTAGAAGGGATTCGACTTGCGGCAGAAGTAGTCCATGACGCTCTGCGGGCTCAGGGTGGCCATCATCTGGGTGTCGTGCCAGGAGAGGCGCAGATGGTCGTTGGTCATCTGTCGGCTGGCCATTGTGTTGTGGATGCACGTGCTCTTTATTGGGTTGTGGATATGGGAAGTGGCTAATACGTATTCTCGTTTGGCAATGACAGTGGCTAATTTCTGGGTCAATGACGCTGAGAGCGCTTCTTTCCTATTCCTATTCCTAACCGATCGCTTTGTTTACAAGCTATTTTCGGCCGCACGCTGCCAATTGGAAGCTGTCGGTGGCACTTTTTTGATTTATTTGTTGTGTAATAATTAATTTAGCAGGCTGTGGCGTACGCTGCTCCCGCTCAACAAACTCCACAATAATACTGTAAGTACTTGGCCGATTTGTTGTCCTTTGTAGTGTGCATTTATTGTGTTTTCTTTTCGTGTTTTTGCCTGGCGCTCGTTAAAAAAACCATTTTGTTGTTATTTTCGCTTGGTCAACTGGGCGCGGTTTGCAGCACTGTTCCGCTGGCTTGCCAACACTGGCCGTAACGCCAGGTGGCAGCTCTGTGTTTGGGGCAGAGAAGAAGAAGCAGCTGCGGCAGCGTATGCGAAAAAGTTTAAAAATAAACAAATTCCGTTTTAAATCAAACTGATATTCAATTTTCCGGGCGCGCAGTTGATTCGTAGCAGCCGACACAAACACAAACACAAAGAGTCTGATTATTAAGCGAATCGGGCCCATTTCTGCTGGGACGTCGCCTCAATATTGGGATCCATATCAGTTCGTTCTGTTCACTTCGTCGTGGCGCACGGGAATCAGAAGCCCAGCAGCGCAAAGCTCTTGCAATGGTAACCACTCATCACCAGTTACATCAGCTAGCAAATCAATGGTGAACTCCAGACCCATGTTGTCCATACATAGACGCCTCCCAGAATCACCCGCACACCACCCACTCATCCGTGTACATACTTATGAGAAGTGTATATACGCTTTTGTAGGCGGCCAGTCAAGGTCGTTCGATTCTCGGCCAGGCGCACATACGAAAACGTTCTTTTTTTACGCCTCACCTTGATTTTCAACTATATATTCGTGCGTGTATGTCTGTGCTGTTTCCATGGCTGCCAATCTTTGTTTATTCCGCCTGAGATATCTTGCGTATCCCGTGTAAATAACCGTCTATTTGTTCTGTGTGCCAGGATCAGTGTTGGGGAAGGTAGTAGCTTTTTGTACCTAGGTGGGGTAAAGATAGTTTTCATATAAAAATTCCCAGCTAAAGGTAAGAGGTACAAATTTAAAGTTTTTAATTTAAGAACTTCAGAATTACATAACAAAATTTCCAGTAATATATTTACAACAACAAAATGACAATTTAATATAATAACAATAACTGTAAATAGGTCTAAAAAAATATTTATAACTTAATTTCCGTACATAGAACGATTTACAAAGATGTACCTAGGTGGAAATATCTACGTATACACCCAACACTGGTCAGGATGATCTTCGTTCCGAAACGACTCAATTCTATTCTCTTCTAGATTGTCGCACACTTTTTAGGCATAAGCGGGTCCCTTCCAGATCCGAGCTTCAGTCAGTTTCAGCGATATGCGCTACATAAAGCCGGAGCCGTACTATGAAGTAAACGACCAGACAACCAATTTCTTCCAGCCTAAAAACTAAGTGTAGTCACATAAACTAACCACCTACCATTTGCAGGGGCTTCCACCATTCAATGTCAGCGGCAGTCCGTTCAACGTGGTGCCCATCCACAACTATCCGGAGCTGATGAAGGACACTTGCGCCCTGATCAACGCCGAGTGGCCCCGATCGGAAACGGCGCGCATGCGCTCCCTGGAGGCCTCCTGCGACACACTGCCCTGCAGCCTGGTGCTGACCACCGAGGGCATGTGCCGCGTGATCGCCCACCTGAAGCTCAGCCCGATCACCTCAAAGAAGAAGGCATGCTTCGTGGAGTCCGTGGTGGTGGACAAGAGGCACCGCGGCCAGGGATTCGGCAAGCTGATCATGAAGTTCGCCGAGGACTATTGCCGCGTTGTGCTGGACCTCAAGACCATCTATCTGTCCACCATCGACCAGGATGGTTTTTACGAGCGCATCGGGTACGAGTACTGCGCACCCGTCACGATGTACGGTCCGCGTCACTGCGAGCTGCCCAGTCTGCAAAATGCCAAAAAGAAATACATGAAAAAGGTCTTATAGACGTCAACGCCAGTGGTAGTTGGCTTAGCCAAATTGGGCCATGCCGAGCCCGATCAGAGAGTGGCAGTGAACTAGTCAAATTGGCAAACGCTTGAAATTCTTTACGGGTTTACCTGCCAGCAGCTGCTCAGAGCCATAACCTGTGGACGCCAGGCACTCTGCCAAATGCAGGGATGAGTGCCACGTTCCTTGAGCGGCCTACGGGGCAGCTACAGCTTTTGATTCCATTACACCGATAAGCAAACATTCACCAAACGCTTGTGTTGATTTTTCAATATTACTTTCCGCATGTATTTTTTAAACTTTTTGGTTCTTTTTGTATGACAAAGGTGACCCCCGGGCTGTTCGGTACATGTATAAGGCTAATGTTAACCTAATCCTAACTATGTTTAGTTATTATTATTTGTTATGGTTTTGTTCAAGTGTGTGCATAATTGCTACTAGATGAAAATTTACCTGCCAGCGATGATGATAATAAGAAGCTCAAGTATCTTCCAACGAAACATAGCATATAGACATATCGAGCCTTAGCATTAAGCACTAAACAATAAAATGCGTAGAAATGTAAGGTTCCATCGGTTGTTGTTTCTGGGCGGAAGTGGTTACGACGGAAATGCCTTCTAGCGGAATGAGTGATGCGATGCATCCAAGCGTCCACCTCGCCACAGATGACAAGTTCAAGTTCACGGCGGCTGCGGCAGCGTCGTCTATAAATTGATGTTATTTTTGCGCAGCCAAATTTGACGGGGGCTCGGTGCCCAAATGGTTAATGCCCGCCCAGCGAGCGTCATGTTTGTGTTACAGAAATAACCCGCAGTGATGTAAGGCACACAGAGATCTCGATTCCTCTCCGCTGTCAACAGTCTGACGGATCTCTCTCGATGGGGCTGTAGCTATGGCGAAAGACTACGACTAGGGTGCGGCGTACGCCTCTCCGAAAGCGGAAGCTGTTGATTTTCACTGGCTTGACTGGGGCACGGCAATGTTTTATGGTTACACATTTTTTAAATACCTGCAAGGCGTTTGGCGCGACAGGTGCTAATGTGGCGACATTTTGGTGGCCGATGCCAAAGCGTTTCTGCACGTAATTGCAATTAAATTCGTGTTCTCTAAAATGGAAAGTTTATTGTGAGCTCACATTACATACGGGTATGTAGACGTTTGCCAAAATATTAATTAGAATATTATTTGTACGACTCAAATGATCAGCTGCAATTGGTCACAATCCCATTCGATGATGGATTGTTCTAGGCACTTTTGGGACTCTTGCCAATGCCGCACACCTTGCCATAGTGTTCCGGCTGCTCCAGACTGTCGATAATGAACTTTCCCAGATCGTACTTGGATACCATGCGGCCGGGGGCCTCATCGTGCACCACGGTGTAGCCGGTGGCCGGCTCATCAGCGATGTGCGGCGGCAGGATGGCAATCCAGTCCAATCCGGAGGCCTTGGTCAGGTCCAGCATGCGCTGGTGCTCCTCGTTCAGGCGGTGGAATACAGCGGGCACCTCCTGAAGCGTGCGCAGGAGAAACGAGGACATGACGATGGAGAACTTGGTCAGCTTGGCCTCCTTCATGGCCTTGATGAGGTTCTCGGTGCCGCGGGAGAGTTCCGTGGTGGCCTCCAGCTTGTTGCGGGTGCCCAGGATGACGGCCACCGCCTCTACGCCCTCAATGAGGCCTCTCACATCCTCGTAGTTGGTCACATCGCCCTTGACCAGTTCCACTTTGGACTTGAATCGCTCTGGAACGGTTTTCTCGCTGCGATACAGCAGTTTTACCGTGAGACCTGCAAAACTAAGAGTTTAAAAGCTGATTTTTTGACCTGTGAGGTTCCCTACCCTTCTGCAGGGCGTGATCCACGGCACATTCGCCGGTCATGCCGGTTCCTCCAATAATAGCAATGCGTTGCATAATGGTTCTTCTTTAATTTCTGCGTAAAAAATGCGTTTGTCCAGTCTAGCTGTGCAAAAGTGCAGTCTCACTGTGCTCCACTTATTGCTACTTATTTATCAAAGGTCCAAATCAGAAGTGATTCCAGCGATTGCTTCGCATTCTCTCCTCACCGGCTGATTTCAACTGTCTCTCTTACACGTACAAACAAACTACAGTGCTCTGTCGACAGAGCGAGCCTGGATTAAGTGAACCCCACATAACAAAGAAAAAAATATTCATGACATACCTTCTTATTGTTTTAAAGATTATGTGTATTTTGTTATTCAATAAGGATGAACATTCGAAACAGTAACAGCCCACGGTTTTCATGTTCACTCCTGCGAGTGAGAACTGTAGTTAAATTGAAAGCTCAACCAATCGTTTTCTTATGGGTTAATTTCTAGCAGTATTGATAAGCTCTATCATATCTAGCGAAAACAAGTTTATTAACAAACGTTAAGGTGCATTTGTCATGGTGATTAATAATAATATTAAAAGTATTTTTGCGGAATTTTAAATAAAGGCCGATTTTCTCAGTCTGGCAGCCCGGTTCAGTGTTGTAAAACGCGGCGCAGTCAAAAGTTTAACGGTGAAATCGTTTAAGTTACGCTTGCGATTCTGATTCCTCAGAATAGGGATTATCTGCTGGATTTTTGATTCGTCTTAGAGTTATTCCCAGCTTTAGCTCACTCAGGAAATCGGTGGTTGCTGGCTTTTGTTCCGGACGTGGCTTGATACCGCTTATGGTGGCTGCCTTTTGATCCACTTTCTATAGAAAAAACGGACACGAATTAACAATTCTGGTAAGGAAGTGTTTCATAAGTAATACCTTTAATGCAACTCCCTGACGTATACTGGCCAGGAACGCATCCCTCGGGTCTCCGCCGGAGTTGGCAGGAGGAGCAGCCTGGGGCTGTGTCTTCTGCATTGGAGGCGGTGGCGGAACTCCTCCCAAGACAGCTGGTGGGGGCGGCGGTGGAGGAGGAGCTCCTCCTGCAGCTGCAACTGGCATTGGGGGCGGCGGGGGTGGCACTGCTGCAGTTGCAACTGGTGGAGGAGGTGGAGGAAGTGGCACCTGACCGCCAGTATTCTTTATATTCTGCACCGGCGTCGGTGGGACATAGGCAGATGGAATCCTTGAAGTCGGCTTGGCCGGAGGAGCAGGTGGCGGTGGCTTGGCAACTGGCGCATGCTGCACCGGGGACACAGCGTACAGCGATCCCATGGAAGCCACCGAGTTGGTATTGGGCACTATCGATGGCTTAGGAGGCGCTGGCGGTGGTATGCGCATGGTGCCCGCCTTTCGTTGTGGCGCTATGGTGGCATACGTCTCACTGGACACCTTGGGTGGAACCGAGGGGCGCACTTGGCGAATGTCGATGGCCGCCGGATAGCCATGTGTATTTTTCGCCGTGACCGCCGAAGGAGGCGGCGGAACCTTTGGCCTGTTCACCTGCTGCGGTTGAACCTGGACGGGAATCACTGATCCCACCTCCTGCCGTCTGGCATTAACATGCTCTGGAGCAGCCGGTGCTGGACCAGGCAAATCCAAGTCGGTGATATCCACAAACCGCGACGTGAGCGAGGCGTAGTTGGAGAAGTTCGGAGCAGCCGATGGCTTCGAAACAGAGGCCACTGAAGGCGGCGGGGGCGAGGGAGGAGGAGTAATTGTGTTGTTGGTGGAAATGGTGGCATAGAGCAGCGGCCTGGCCGGCTCCTGGACTCGTGGCTTTGCCTCCAGATCGCCCTTTGATGGCTGAAGGGAAAGATGTATTAAACGATTCAACTCGACATTTAGTACCTACCATCCATGTATAATTGGAATGGACAATCTTCTTGACCACATCTTGGTGTCGCATACCGCTTATGTCCTCCTCCGTGATGCCCCGCTCCATCATGTACTTCCTCAGCACCTTGTCGTTGGAGTCGGCGTTCAGATCGAAGGCGTTTCGCGTCCGATCCCGCAACACATCTCCAGAGACGTGCTGAAAGTTGACTGGTCCGCTGATCTCGTACTTGGAGCCCTTCTTGCTGACCAGGACGCTGGTGGCGAAGCTGGGACCGGCCAGAGCCACACAGGGCGGGGCGCCCACATACCTGTCCAGGCTGTTCGAGGAGGAGGAGCTGTTCATGCCGTCGAGACTGGCGTTGTAGCTGGCGTTGTCGGTGTAGGAAGGCGGTGGACGAACTGCGGGCGGCGGATGGGCGAAGACGTCGGTGCTCACTTGCATGGAAGGAGGCTGCAAAGAAAGGAAACGGCTGCGTTCAGGACAGGGCTGTGCATCGTGGACTCGGTGTCTGGTGGAGGAGCTCTGCTGCAAGACATTACCACCCAGTAACCGGGACCCTTATTGCTCCTAATTATGTCATAGACGTAAGCGCGCCGCTTAATAGCCGGCAGACGCTCGAGGTCGTCGGACAGGTTGGCCTTCCGCAGGTACAGCTGGAGCATTTCGTCGCCACCCTGGCCCCGCAGATCGAAGGTCTTGCGGAAGTCAATGGCCCGGCCCTCCAGCTGCCGAAACTCCACGGGCTCGGAGATGTAGGCGTACGAGTAATCCTCCATGGCGCTGGAAAAGCGGATACGTAGTTGGGAGCTGCGTTAGTTCGGCTGCAAAGGAGGTGCCGCCCACTGGCTTTGTCTTGGATCACTCCCCGTAGCCGCCGTGCGTCCACACTGCCCAGCGGCATTATCTAGTAGCCAATTTGCAGATAAGAATTGCTGGCGCAACTTGGGTTTTTTATCAATTTTGGATTCGGATCGCGGTGGGCCTTCGTCGAGGTGACTCATCGACAGTCCCAGTCACCAGGTTAACCGGATAAATCAATGCCCGTGTGGGGGAGGGGCAGGAGGATAAGGAGGATCATCAAGTGGCAATTACCGTGTGCACCGGAGAGCGCTATGTCCAGGGATACTGCAGATCCTGGACAGAGTAAACGGATTGGATCGGCGGGCGTTTGTACGGCACAGAGCGTTTTGTGGGACTGATTAACGCCGGCAGTATGTCATGTTAGGCACTGCGTTTACTCATTTCGCGAAGCGCCTTATCTGGAGCGGAGGTACCGAAACCGAAACTGATAACTGATAACTGGGGGCCAGTAATCACCTGGGCCTGCGACGCCGACTCCGACAGCCTGAGCCAAAGGAAAACATAAACAATTGGCGTAAACTACACTTTGGTAAAGGTCTATGATATGCGCTTTACCTGTCATTTCCTTGCAGGTTGGGTGAGTCCAAAACCAGAAAACTTACTAATGACTAATGTCTGCAATAAGCGGAAACGACTTTATGAAGCACATTCAGCTATTAACCTTACTATACTATACATATTATAAAATATGACTGATGTAAAGACACTCAAGATTCGACCTCTCAGATACAAAGTGTATTTGTTTATTCAAAAATTGGTATGCTGTTATTTACTTCCAATCTTATCTGATTTCAGTTGACATGCCTTTTTTAAGATTGTTGTTACTGGAAAATAGTTCAGCATTTAAAATTCAATGAAATCTAAAGTACATATTCAACTTAAAAACTATATAAACTATATATGTTCTTGATCAGGATCCGTCTGTCTGTCCGTCTATCCGTTCGTATGAACGTCAAGATCCCGAGAACTATAAAAGATGCCCGCAATCATGAAAGTCGACAGATATCACAATATCACTCTGAGACTAGTTACCCCTTAGCTTTTGGCTGTGTGTGCGTTTTGGTCATATCTTTCGGTAGACGCATTTTAATTTTCAAAATCGAGATATTATTTTAGAAGTTATTAAGTTGCTAAGACGCCGGGGATAATGTTATTTGAAATTTGTCAACTGAGAAACGGGTATCTTATAGTCGAGCATAACGTTTTTTCTTGCTTTCTTTAAAAATAAGGATTTTTCAATAAGGTCGATTTTTTTTTTAATACAAGAACATAAAATAAACAAGTTGCACTTACACTCTCAAAGAAGTGAGTTTAGACTTGGAAGCAAAACATTTCGTGCCGTATTTAGTTCTTCTGTAAACTTTATTTGATTTAAAAAATATGTTTTTGTAGGCACTCGTTAAATAAAATTAAGGTATGAAAAGTTTTTAGAGAACGTTGTTAGGAACCCTATAGAGTTGTTCGTTTTCATAGAGTTTACTGTCAAACCAGCCAACTTTCTTTCGATTCGTTGAAAGCAAATCTCATTTCCCTACTTGTCAGCAGCCGCAACGTTTCTTACAAATTGTAATACAAACTTTCTAGTCCTAGGAAAATTTCAATAATTAATCAATTTCAATCCGTCGAACTGCGCATGTGCAACCTGCATCAATACTTTAACATCTCAAACAAGTTGTTTAGCCGAAATTTCTCCCAAATTGTTGCACTTTGAGATTCCGATAGGCATGAATGTCAATGTTACGGGTGAATATACGCTGGCTGAGATCGAAGTGGTTGTGGACACGGAGTTGAGTCCCGATGACCTGCAACCCGGAGCCACAGTGCTGGCATCCAACGAGGGTGAGGGCGACCTGGAGAAGATCGTCAGCCACGAGGAGCTCTCTAGGTTTTTTACCGTGACGCCGTCGGCAGCCATCCAAATGCCCACCGAAGTGGTGGTGGAGCGCACCCTGGCGGATCCGGCTCTCAAGCAGATCCTGCAGGAGGCTGACGGCAAGAAGGGCTTTGATCCGCAGGCGGAGCAACTGAAGATTCGCGAATTTTTGGCCGGGGTCAAAAGCAGCAAGATGACCACCGAGCAGTCGGTGTTTCATGGTAAGCCTATTGGATGCATTTGATTGTATTAACATAAGATGGTCCTTCTTTTCCCTCAGTACCGCGTTCCAGCTCATTTGGAACCACCAGCTGTCGCATAAAATGCCCCCAATGTCTGGTTCAGTACGATACTGCCGCCTTCCAGAGCCACTCCTGCGAGTTCGATGTCGAGCGGAAGCCCGTAGAAGTGGTAGTTTCCCAGCAAGAGAAGCCTCTGCCTGTCCCGACTGGGTGTGCTTCTCCTGCTGCTGCTGCTGCTCCGCCCAGCAAACCGAGCAGCGAGCGTGTGATCCTTGAGAACCAGGCGCGCCTTTGTCGCTACATGAAGGACGAGATGAAGTACGACCTGACCACTGGCATCGATAGCTCGCGGAACCGGAAGTCGGGTAAGGGACCCAACGAGTGTACCATGTGCGACCGCAAGTTTGTGCATGCTTCGGGATTGGTGCGCCACATGGAGAAGCACGCCCTGGATCTGATCCCTTTGGCGACCAGCCTGCAACCGCATACAGTTCCGGCTGCCGGCCTCCATGTGCTGGTCAAGTGCAACGTCTGCGGTCGACTTTTCTACGATCCGCAGGTGGCCCTGGAGCACGGGCTCATTCACTTTCCGGAGCAGCCACGTCTGTGTGATTTTCCCGAAATTCGATCCTCCAACGCCGAGCTGGATTTAAAGGAGTTCATGCTGGATAGCGAGATGTGGCTGGCGGGAGAGGTCACAATCACAACCGCGCAGCAAAAGATTAGCCGACTGGAGAAGGACTTGTTCACCAGTTTGATCCTGGGCAGCATTCTGCAGTGCGAGTTCTGCGAGTACATCTTCGCCGACATCGCAGAGCTGCTCGTCCACTCGGCCTCCCATGTGGCAGAGCGGCGATTCGAGTGCACCGCTTGCGACATCCAGATGAGCACGGCCAAGGAGGCCAGCATCCACTTCCAGACGGACTGCATCTTCATGCGGGAGGCGAACAGGTCGCTAAATGTCACACTGAGTCGTTACTTTGTGTGCAATGTGTGCGAGTTGAAGTTCGCCAACACGGACCTTCTGCAGGAGCATCGGTAAGTTGTTGAATGGGTTTTTAATCCTGCAGGGTAATCAGCTATTCCGCTCTGCTAGGTACACCTCATATCACTACTTTCCGCGTCTCAACGCGAGTGGTAAGAAGCTGCTGCTGCCCTGCGAGTTCTGCGATGTCAACTTCGAGTTTGCAAACGAGATCCAGGCGCACAATGAGGAGAAGCATTTAAACAAGAAGAAACGCGAGAAGGAGACCCGCAACACGGGCACTGGTCGCTTGCGTCAGTACCTCTGTGACATCTGCGGGAAGTCCTACACCCAATCTAGTCATCTGTGGCAGCACCTGCGCTTCCACCAGGGTAAGCATTCGTAGTAGATTATAGAGCACACAACTCTCCCTTCAACTAAACAGCTTGACTTAATCAGCTTACAAAATGTTTGATTTAAACAGCTCAGCTCTTTGGTTTTTACGATGAGAGGCACTCGATTCGATAGAAATGACGGACTCACTAAAATTATAAGCTCATGGAATCATGGGATAGAGTAACCAATCTTAATTCATATTCTTCATTTTCGCATATTCTTCATTTGTGTATGACTATAAACTCTATAGCAGACGGAGGTCTAATTTATTTCTAAAAACTGGGCAGATGGCCAATACTTGCTAATTTATAAGCCTATTTTGCTATTGGCAATCAGTTCCGCCTGAAGAGAAGACAAGAGTGTCTTCAGCTGAAGAATTTGCGAGGAAGAGTTTGCAATGCATATTTTCAATAATTCAAAGAAACTTATAAAGAAGCTTAAAGATTCCATGATTCCATAAACTATGATTCCAAATTTATAGACAAACAAACCAAGCTTTAGCTCAGAGCTGATTTTATAACCGACTTGTGATGGGCTGAAGTAGATCAGACGGCCACTTAGGTGATCTATTCCTCCCCATCAGGTGTCAAGCCCTTTGTCTGTCAGGAGGAGAACTGCGACAGGAAGTTTACCATCCGACCAGATCTGAACGACCACATCCGGAAGTGCCACACGGGCGAACGACCATATCTCTGTTTGGTGTGTGGCAAGCGCTTCCTGACCGGATCCGTCTTCTACCAGCACCGGCTCATCCATCGAGGCGAAAGGCGCTACGAGTGCGAGGAGTGTGGCAAGCGGTTCTACCGGGCGGATGCCCTCAAGAATCACCAGCGCATCCACACCGGCGAGAAGCCGTATAGCTGCCTCTTCTGCACCAAGACCTTCCGGCAGCGTGGCGACAGGGACAAGCACATCCGGGCGCGACACGCCCACCTGGACGCCAATTCGCGACTGATGATGCAGATGCAGAAGTTTCAGCTGGAGTCGGCTGCAGCCGCTGCCCTTCAGGCCAAGCATCATCCGGACGAGCAAGCTCCTGCGGAGGAGGCCTCTGGCTCGGGGTCCGGATTGGCAGAGACTGGCGATCCTGGGATGCAGTACTCCGTCCTGCCAGAGCAGAATGACGAATTGATGTGCCTGTCAATGAACGGCGTGAACAACAATTTCCTTATGTCGCAGTATGGCCAGGCAGTGCCAATGGAGGCGAGTGGCTCAGAGCAGGACATAATCGTCTTCGAAGATCCGGCCCAACAGGATATGGATATGTTGAGCATGTTCGAGCCGCAGCCGGGTAAGCCGCCAATGCAAGGTGGTGAAAATGCCAAGGTGGTTGTTGTCAAGAACAATCCGTCCCAACCACTGTTTTCGGATACCTATATGTAAGAGTCGAATTCGAATTTGAATAAAGCGCCAGAGGAATAGAGGGGCCACTGGCTAATGGTGATGCCACTTTGGTAGTGGCTACGCCCTCTGCAGGTAGAAGACTCCTACGAACATTATTTTATAATAGAAAAACGAATTTAAAAACATTTACATTTCTTACAAGAGTGGTGTTAAATAGTGAGTGCATTTCAGCAGATGTTAAGAATTTCAACAGAAAGTGGGCAAGAAATGGAGTGGAACCTGGCTAAGTGTTCAAGAACTTGAGTGAAGTGCGCATGAACTGCCGTGAAATCGGTAACAGTGGGCTAGAACTTGAGTGAGAAGTTAACAGAGGCAAGAAAATATCGTTAGAGACGGATAAGCATTAAAAGCTCTGCCAAACATTGATGAGACTGACCTATTGAAAACATCGCTGTAAGCAATGCCCCACCTCTAGCGGTGAATTTTAGTGATTGTGGGTTTGTGTTTCGCAGTGAAATGTTAGCCAAACGTCCAACTAACAGCGGAATGTTAGCCAATCGTCCAACTAACAGAAAGATATCGTTAGTGATGGAAGAACATTGATAGTCCCTGCCAAACATCGATAAGACCGATATTGTGAAAACAGCGAAGTCATCGATGTTTTTGCACCTCAGACTGCCCTCCCTAGTTCCTTTTCTTTTTCTTTCTCGTCGAAAAACGCCAACATGGGTTTCGCTACTCTCTGGTACTCGCACCCCCGCAAATACGGCCAAGGCTCCCGATGCTGGTAAGATTTGTGCGGCCCGTAGCCTGGCGCACCGAATGGTGTACGATTTGTTTAAATGCTTGCCCCGTAATCCCGTATTTTGCACGATTTTTTGGCATGCTTGTAGAAAGTGAGGTTATTCACGCCCCGCTTTTTTTCACGCATGGCGTCTGCCGATTTGTGTTGCTTGCCGACTTTCCTTGTTAGATTTGTTCAATGGCTTTTGCCCCCGGTTGAGTACGGAAATACGTGTTTAAACATCTTGAACAGTTTCCTTAATTAAGGGAGGCCAAAGTAAGAGCTGCACGAGGCAGAAGGCGCGATTTTCACATGAAAACAGTGCAGCCGAGTGCAGCGACAGCTTTGCTACACCAAAACTGTGCCAATCTGTGGAAGAACTTGTGTGGAACCGATATAACTAATGATTCGTCATCCCATTCCAGCCGTGCCTGCTCTAACCGCCACGGTCTGATCCGCAAGTACGGCCTGAACATCTGCCGCCAGTGCTTCAGGGAGTACGCCAACGACATTGGCTTCAAGAAGGTGAGTCCCCAGGAGATCTATCTACCAACTCATTACTAATTACAACCTTTTCTCCTTTCAGCTGGACTAAATGTCCTCTTCTCAATTTGGCACGCGTTAATCGCGTCTCAAAATAACAATCGGCATAGTAATATAAGCAGTCGCCGGACTCTGGGGGACTGCGTACATTAATATGCCGGCAGCAACAACAAGCAGCAGCAGCAACAACATAATCATTTGGGGATTTAAGCAAGGACAAAGCACACAAGGAAACGACTCCAAAGTAATCTCTAAGCAAGTAACCAGAATGGCCACCACCACAGAATTCCAACAGTTGCCACCTTCCGCGAAGGATCTTTGTTAAAACACTAGTTTGTTTAAATCTCCGTCTGATTAAACCCATAACAAGAAACGTATATATACTTTTGTGTCATAATTTGAGCCTACATCTTGGCGGGCATCTGTTTTGTGTTGACAAATGCCGGAAAATTGTGCATTTCCTAGTTTTTGGACCGACGGCCGATCAGTCAGTTAGTCTGTGTAACCTAATAACACATTAAACCGCTACCAAAACAAAATACAACCGGTTTGGATCGCTGGAGAGAGGGTCATCTCTCTGAAATAACATTGTCAAATCGCACACGAAGATCTTGTTTTGAACAATCAAGAGGTTTTGCCAGTGACAGAAAGCCTTTTAAATTTACATTTATCTGCCGGGATATAATGTGAAAAATTGTAGAGCAACATGTCGCCAATTTAGATTGGCTAACAAACCATTATCCTATAAACAGCTATAGGATAGACGTCTATAATTTTCAAAGAACACTTTTACAATAGTGCAATAATGCAAAAAGAATGGTTGCAATCTTTTTTTTAATGCATGTAACAAGCACTGGTTTAATTAAAATCAATAATATTTGTAAGCTGCGGCTATGAGTATTATTTCTTGAACTGCACAGATTCGGATTTGTGACTTATCAATTATGAATACGAAATGGTGACTAAAACTTAATTTCAAACATAAATAAAAGCAAAATTTTCTTATCACATTACCATGTGTGTGTGTGTTTTGCACTTAGACTTTGTGTGTGCTTAAATATACATATACATATACATTAACATGTAGCGTAATCCTAGCTATCAATTTCCTTGTGGACAACTAAATGAATGTTTACTATAAACCAAACTGTAAACAAACCTGCTTCATTCCCACGCAAAAGTGTCAAGAGCGTTAAGTGTGCCTCAATATTTGATGGTGTCCTTTTGGAAAGCCGGAAGCAATCTCCTGGCTGCAGGCAGGCGCATTTCCTCATTTCTACGTCAGTGGGTTAGTGGCATCCACCGCAGCACTGGAACACCTTCACCAGTGCTCCAGCCAGTGGAATGGCAGGCCAGAGCCCATTTGGCTGAGAGCCAGACTTGGAGTTAAAACCAGTTTGGGGCGCTAAAGAGCGGGTCAGCCCCCGCTTAAGCTCTCTTAGCTGTTTCAGCGGTGGGCTTCGCTGCCGAAATACCACGATTTTGCACATTCGCCAATTGGAGCTGGGAGTCTGAAGCGGTCGCTCGGTGTCTAAACAACGTAGTCGCGCTTGCCCAATAATAAAGTAACCCAGTACCACCTGTATTCCCACCAGCGATGAGTGATCAGTGAGTGAGTGAGTGAGTGCCACATACTGCAACAGTGACTCCAAAATCGGAAAGGTCAGTGGTTTAGTGACCCCCCCGTAAGTGAATCAGTCGCAATGAGATTGGTCTGGCTGCAGCTCCTGGCTGCTGGGGGAGCCCTCTACCTGACCATCGGTTGTGCAACGGCCGCCAAGGCATCCACCACAAGCCGCGGAGTTGCACAATACAAGCTCCCGCTCCCAGCTCCACAGCCAGCCCACGAAACTGCGGTGGTTTCAGGACCGGATCAGCATCAGTCCAGACGGCCACAGCAGCAGGGTGCATCCAACCAGCGGAGGCGCACTCAGGTCGTCCGCCGGCGCAGGCCCTCCTCATCCACCACAACTACAACAACCACCACCACCTCCTCCACCACCACAACAACATCAACAACAACTACCACAACTAGTGAGTCCACAAAATAGTTTAATGATGCAAAGATAGTTAGCTTTGATCTTAGATCAGTGCAACTAGTCTGTGGGGCGATGACTATTGAAAAATCTTGCAAACTGGTCGAAGATGCTGGCACTGACCTAGCTTTTCGGTTTCGGCCATAAAGATTGAAAGTGTTAATGCGAATATACAGCCATAACAGCGACAAAGAAGTTGTCTGAGAAAAGGTTGAACTAGGTGGGTTCAACGATAGATGGGATACCCTTCTATATATTTGGAATTTGAAAAACAAATATCTGACTATTAAAGTCAATATTTAATATATACATAAATTATAAGATCATAATATTAAATAATTCAATATTAAAATATTTTAAACAATGTGGAAAATATTCGATTTAAAATAGTTCCATTGATTTAAATGAATTCAATTTAAGTTAAAAGTGGTTTAAATTTAATAAAAAGCTTCAGATATTAAACTCAATTTCAAAAAAATTAAAAAGGATTTTAATACAAATTTTCATATTTAAATTAACTAACAAGTGCAATAAATAAAAATCAAAGTAACAAATATATACACATTAGAATACTGAAATATACCTATTTTTAAACTATAATTTCAACGCCTTGAGGCTTTTTGCTTAAATATTATGAAAGCATGAATTTATTACATTCTTAAATGGCTAATTTGCAATTTGTGAGTTACCGAGATCCTATTGCTGCTGTAAAAATTAGAATGGCATTTGAAGCCACTTTGATAGCCAAATATAAATCAAAGATTATGCGCAAAAAAAATGCAGATAAAGAGTTTTACCTTGGATTGGCCGTTTCATTATTCTGACCGCAATTGTGTATTCAAATTGTGGCCAAAACCTGATATACCCGTTCGGAGTTCGTCGGCGTCCATAGGTGCATAGGTTAGGTGCAGAGCGTCGATAACTGGAGCGCCGGGGCTTTCGAATCGGCTTCAGCTGCACCAGGAGACCTTGGCGAAGTCCGAACCGGAGAGACGGACACAAGGTCGCCAGTTATTGGGGCCTAGGCCTTTGCCTCTGGCAATTTGCATGATAATTCCGTTTTAGAATCCCCCTTTTTTTTCTGGCTGCGTGGGTCTAATTAAATTAAAGGTGCTCTGAACTTGCCTCGCCATTAGCTAGTTTTATGACCTGGAAATTCAAAGCTTATAGGGAAGTGTCGTTCATCGCGGTTAATGATCTCTGATCATGGCGCTGTTGGCGCATGCTGTCCAAGCTGTTGCAACATGCCAAGTACATAATTGCGCTGGGAATGGGTCTATGGAGCCTACAGTGGAGTGGGTGGGAAGCGTTGGCCAACAGGCTGGCAATTGTTGATCCACTGCTGGCGGAATAATGAAACAAAACCAAATCAAACGCTCTTTATGAGCCGCGGGAACTGCGCTTTACTTGACGTGTAATGTCTGTTATTTGGAGCAGAAACACTAATGGCCACTGAGCACACACAGCTAACCCGCTTTCCACATCCATCCGCCATCCCCCAGCTCCGCGTCCCAGCTTGGCCAACGGCTTCAACTTCTTCAATCCGAACTTCTGGAGCTTTGGCCAACAGAGTTTGGTGGCAGTGCGTCCGCCCACCAAGCAGCCTCATCCGCCCAAGAAGTTCAGTCCCAAGGAGGACAAGTCTAGTCAGCGTAAGCCGCCCAAGACCACCAGGAAACCTTTGGCCAACACAACGGTTAGAACACCCACAACAACCACACTGAAGTCCACCACGGATGGTCCCTTCCGGATCGCCCTGCCCACGCTCAACTTTCCCAGCGATGACAAGGACAAGGAGAAGGATAAGCAGAAGGACAAGGAGAAGGGCAAGCGGGCGGCTGCCGAGCTGCGATTGAGGTTCGATTGTCCTCGGGAGAACGAGGTGAGGTTCCAGCTCTTCCCCAAGATCTGCAAGACGGATCGGGACTGCGCCGTCTGGCAGAGAGATGAGCTGTGCTGTGATATCTTCGGGGCCAGCAGCTGTGTCTCCGGGGTGCCCAAGCCCCTGGAGGAGACGCCACATGCTCGTGAGTGGAATAATATTCGGGAATCCTAGGCCATCTGCTAATCAGTGAGTGTTCCTTATACAACAGCCATCCTGGGCTTGATACCACGCAAGTGCCCCAGCAGACCGCTGGCCGAGCTCTGGTGGGATGTCCAGGAGTGCAGCTCGGACATGGACTGCTGGCCAAGGGTCTGTTGTCCGGATGGCCGCAGAAGGTACTGCCGCACCTCGCAGCCGGAGTTGGAAACGGCCCCAGTGCCTGTGAAGCGCTCTTTCGACTACCGTAAGTGTAAACTGATTTATCTATCTTCCATGGAGGGTATATAAGATAAGATATTTGTGTGATGTAGACATACATACAGTTTTTACACCTAACATATCTTCGATCAAGAAAAAATATACTTTAGCAGTTATTAAAAAACTAAGTATATATGTTTTAAAATAATAAATGTAAGTCGATTTCCCGCAGAATTTTTTGATCATTCCTATAGGAGCTGTATGATATCTGTCCGATTTCTTTTTTAAATTAAAACTGTATTTTAAAAACCAAGAAAAAAAATATTTCCATATCTCGGCGAATATTGGTATAAATGGAAATCAACAAAGCTATATATTTTTTGTCAATTATTATACTTAGTCGTTCGATCCGTCCCGTTCCGCCTTATATACTACCTTTAATAAAAAGAATTCTTTTGCAAATGTATCATTCAAAAGGCTTTAAAGCTGAGAGACTATATTGCCTAGGACATGGCTAAATTGAATCGTCTGGTGAACTGACCAAAAACATACATATGCATATACTCATAATAGTCGGATATAACTGCATCACTGGCTTGCAAACTTAGTATAATACTCTGTGCAATTTATGACACTATATAATATTAAACGCGAGGTGAAGAACACATACACACTACCTAAAGTATTTTTTGATTCGGTCCTAACATAATATTTCGGTATAATATTCAAATTATGATTTCACCGATCGATGTTTTTGTCATATAACTAAGAGCAAGAATTCCTCATTTGTATCAACATAAACCAAAATTCTTTCGCAGTTACGGAGTACCTAGAGTGCACGGCTCCACCGCCGCCCATTTTTGACCTGCACCCCAAGGCGTGCACCTCCACTTTGGACTGTTTTCCGAACGTATGCTGCCAGGAGGCGGGACTCCGGCACTGCCGACCGCCCAAGAAGTCCGTGCTCACCCTGATGGCCAACTTCCTGAACGTGGACTTCGTGAAGCGACTGGCCCAGAATATCGTTATCAAGTAGGCCGCGAATTTCCCACTATTTTGTAACTAATGTGCGTCGATGTCGAGCACCTTCAACAGAAGCGTTTCGAAACTGCCGTGATATCTCGGTCGTATTTGTTTGGCCACGCTGATAACCAAAAAGAAAACATGCCCATGCCCACACATATGTACTTGTACTGCGCACTAAGTGTACCCAATCGATTCCCCGTAATCCTCCATTTATGTTCACCTAGCCTAGTATTAGACATAAGCTGCATTCGTAGGCTAACAAATTAAATGCGAGCCATAAACTCTGATTGAGGGTTTTTTATTCACTCGGAGGTCTCGGGTCGTGGTGTCTGGGCCATCTGGGGTTGTGGGGTCTCTCGTAACCCCACCCCTAGGTCAGATGGATCGCTCACTTCGGAAATAGCACTCGGGGTTCTTGTTCTTGACTTATTTCGGTGACATTATGAGCGTATTAATGTGTATGCTTATAAGGTTGTCGCACTTTCACGTTACCTGCGCGATCACTTTACACCTATAACAACAAGTTAACTAAGCGACTTTGAGACTATAAAGTCTCGAGACGATGTTGAGCACAAAACAGACTGAAAAGTAAATCAGCCTACAATTATTAATGTTTTTCTTCGTGAATCATGTATATATGTACATATATGTGTTTTGTGAAATAATTAAATCATTATTCATCGAGTTTCTAAGGAGAAACAACAGAGTTTAGCTAAACATATGCTACTTTATATGAAATTCATATAATAAACATAATTTCAGCTTTAAGGAAAAAATCTTTAAGTCAAATAATGTTTTAAAATGCGTTTGTTTTTGCAACAGTTAAAATTTAATAAAATCTACGCTTTAGGAGCTGCTTTATTATTTTGCCCGCGTCTGTAGCCATATCTACAAGTCATAAGTTCAAACCGCTGTGCTTTGAAATCAAACCCAAACCCCCACTCATTTCAGCCTCAGAAAATAGAAGAGAAGCGTCTCAGATTACTATACAATTGCTCAACTGAATTTGTTTATGCAAACTAGTAGACAAGTGTGGAAAACACTTGACCATCCAATTTTCACGACGTATATCGCCATATCGCCGGGCACGAACCTCCAATAAATGAGAATCTAACCTAGAAAGGCCCAGACCAACTGATTGCGCAACAAGAAAAATACGCAGCTTATAGTGTTCAATTACTTTAATTGGACATTGTGTGGAGGGAAAATGAGAAAACATTGTGTTTGCATGTGATAATATAAAGAAATCAGTTCGGAGATAAGGGGCTGCCGTCTTCTCCAGATCTTCTCCTCCGGAGAATCTCACTTGGAGCAGGCGCAGGCGGATTTCTTCTCGCCGCCGCACTTGCAGTCAGATCCGCAGTTGCAGGATCCCTTGGTCGTCTGGGAGGCGCATTTGCAACCTGGTAAAAGTAAAATAAAAAATAAAATTATTATGCAGAAAAATATATATATGCATATGTTGACTATATAAAAAAAAAAAAACGGAAGAAATCATACGATTTATAATGATTTTAAAGATGTAGAATTGATTGCACGTCGATTTATTCTATATTGTCAAGAAACCTATTTTTTTATACTAGATCTGGTTCAAAACAAGTTGAATCGAGGGGTTCCAATTGTGTTCATTCAATATTATCTTTCTTTTGTAAATAAAATATCTGATTCAACATAACATTAAACTGTTTTTCTGGACAGCTGAAAAGATCCTAGAATCCTAGGGTCAGACTTGAACTTACCACTTCCGCATGGGCAAGGCATCTTGGTTTTGTTGTTTTTTTTCACTTGTTCACTTCGCAAAAGATAAAGAGATGGGCTATTTAGGCCTTTTACTGCACCGAGATGATTCACTTGTTTTTGCTGCTGACCACAACTGATGCACATTGGCCAGTTGCTCTCGGTTTTATACACTTTGGAAACGCGGCTTTACACACGGGTCGTTCGATTCCCCAATTCTTTTGCACACGCCGGCCGGCTTTGAATGGATGTAGAGACGTGTGCAGAAGCTTTCTTCCCCGAGGGTTCGAGTCTCCGCTGCGGGGTTTGAGCACTGCTAAAAGCTCTGCACATAAGATAGGCGCATGCGCCGTAATGCCCTTGTGTGTGGGGGCGGTGGGTGGGCGGTTCCCTTATCGGAACCAGAGGATAGGATAGGACGGCCTGCAGCAGAGAGCTAGTCACATCGGGCACCAGATCCTGTCCTGCAACGAATCCCAGTGCAACGAAATGCAAGTAAATATTGCGACGCAATTGGGAAACCCTCGGATCCTGCGGGAAATTCACCAAACGGGGTTGCATAGTGCTGGCGCCCAGGTTTTTCCGAGGGGTCGCGTGTGTGGGTGGCAAGTGCAGCGCAGATAAAATCGATAAATCCAAGCCAAAATAAAGCGAGGAAAATCCAACAGCAAAGAGTGTGTGTGGTGTACGGAGCGGTGGAAAAACAAAAAGAGAGTGTGAAAACAGTGCGAAACAACAAAACGGCGAAAAGTCGGAAGGCGGGGCGGCAAAGGGGGCGTGTCAAAGGTGCCAGTGCCACCATGACAATCAAGCGGAAGTGAGCAGTTACGGCTGGACTAGTGCTAGTGTGCGTGTGTGTCCGTGTGTGAGTGGGCGGATGAACGGATGGGCAGGAAAGGACACTCGCCTTCAAAGCAGGCCTATTTTTACCCCAACATAATCGTGATTAAAGTGATAATGATGAGAAGAGGCTGATGCCGATCCGCCAGCCGAGCAAAAATCAATACTCTTCCTTGGCACATGGCTAAAATTAGCGGCACATTCTCACGCATTGTTCCCCCGTTTATTTTGCCCTTGAAAAGGGTAACACAAATGTTGTCACAAGTCTGTAACGCAGTCGATAAGTCATATCCGATCTTATACATTTATTTTTTGCAATTTATTTACTTGGTTTAACGACCATAACAAGTTTTATTTTAAACTTTTCTTATGCCTTAACAATACCTTATACACTACATATACCGATAGGTAAAAATTTCCATATTAAGTTTTATTCTGAAGATATTGCGAATAACAAAGACTCGAGTTCTACAATATCAGCATTACATAATAATTTTACATCTTTGATTTTGAATTACTTAATTCTCTTATAGGAATAAGGCCTTTTAAGGATAATTTAAATTTTATTAATTTTGTATTTTATTAAAAGTGGACAGTTGTATCGAATTCGAATTCGAACTTCTTAGTCTAATAGCTGTTATAAGAACGATCGTTTGAGCATCTTAAAATTTAAATATAACATCATATATGTTAATCGAGGTATGGCCATTAAACTATGATCTTTTCAAGTTTATCAAAGTCTCATGGACAAATATGTCAAAATATGTATATAGACTACAATATTTCTGAAAAGCTGGGTATATAAGCATCGCTTGTCAGAGGTTAAAGGCTGTTTTCCTTTGTTTCGGGACTCACATCATAAACGCGAATTGAGAAAATTGCAATTCAATGATGACCTTTTCAAGTTTATCAAATCATATTATATCCTATAGGTGTCATAAAAACAATCTGACCAAAAAACTATTAATTAACTAAATTGAGGCATTGCCATTTAAGGATGACCTTCTCAAGTTTATAAAATAATATCATATCCCATAGCTGTCATAAAAACAATCTGAACAAAAAAGTATTTAGACTAACTAATATTAATATTAATAATGACAAGGGTATATAAGCATTGGTTATCAGAAGTGAACTTTCTTTCTGTTTTTTTTTTTGTTAGGGACCCTAAAGCAATACCACCCACACGCACACCCGTTCTCCACCCACAACCGGCCCGGAAAGGTTGTGCGTGCGTGGGCGTTGTGGCCAAGCTGATTTGCTCTTAATCGTTGCAGATAAACGAAAGCATGGCGCCCAAGTAGAACATTCCAACAGCGCCCGACAGCAAGCCAACAAGCTCCAGCTCCAGCTCCTGTTTCTCTCTCTGAAACTATTTCCACTTCGAATCCGATTGACCCGAATCCGGTCCGACGCGAGTCCGGAATGACGGAGCAGAAGAACCAGGTGACGCGCGCTGCGCCGGAGCAGAGCAACGACTACCGGGTGGTGGTCTTCGGAGCCGGCGGCGTGGGCAAGAGCTCGCTGGTGCTGCGCTTCATCAAGGGCACCTTCCGCGAGAGCTACATCCCGACCATCGAGGACACCTACAGACAGGTGGGTGGGGGTTAACCAGGTGACCCTCCGAGAGGACCCCTCCTAATCCCTATTAATCCCATAGGTCATCAGCTGCAACAAGAACATCTGCACGCTGCAAATCACGGACACCACGGGTTCGCACCAGTTTCCGGCCATGCAGCGGTTGTCCATCTCGAAGGGACACGCCTTTATCTTGGTCTACTCGGTGTGCTCCAAGCAGAGTCTGGAGGAGCTGCGACCCATCTGGGCGCTCATCAAGGAGCTAAAGGTTCGTGATTGCCTGATATTGAATCCTCACTAACATTTCGTCTTTCCACAGGGGGCCGACATCCCCAACATCCCCGTCATGCTGGTGGGCAACAAGTGTGATGAGACCGCCGAGTTGCGTGAGGTTAGAGACAATAATATCCATCTTTATATGTTAGGGCACTTTAACTTTAAACTAGTTTGGATATCAACAACCGGCAACTTAACTATAAACCTTTAAAATTGTTTAGTTTTTTAGTCAAATCTATTCTTTCATTAATAACTTAATAACTAAATTAACAATATTAAACAGATTTGACTAAACTAATCATCTTTGACAAAGAAATTTTAATTTAACGTTCTTCCTGGTTGAAATAGTAAGAGAAATCTTGAATACGATATTTTCTAATCCAATATATCATTATTTAATAAAGTCATCTATTTTTTGATAACTAAATTACTAAATTACAAAATTATTAATATTAAACAGAATCCACTTTAACATCGGTATTTTGTTCTTAAATTGTTTGTCTTTCTTGATTTCATTATATCTTGAATATAAAAACAATACTTAAAGATCAAAAGGATCTAAGAACCCCTGCCTTTTTTAAAACCGCCTAACACAAAACCATACTTTGGCAGGTCTCCCAGGCCGAGGGTCAGGCGCAGGCGACCACCTGGAGCATATCCTTTATGGAGACGTCGGCCAAGACGAATCACAACGTGACCGAGCTCTTCCAGGAGCTGCTCAACATGGAGAAGACGCGCACCGTTTCCCTGCAGCTGGACACCAAGAAGCAGAAGAAACAGAAGAAGGAGAAAAAGTCCAAGGACACCAACGGCTCGATTCCGGAGAACGGAGACGCGGGGGCCAGTGCCAGCGGTGGGGCCAAGGAGAAGTGTCTCGTTATGTAAGCACATCGGACGGCGATGGCATGTGGCCCTGTGACAATGTGACCCGGGTCGCATTGCATCGAAAGGAGCTCCAGCTGGAGTGACGGAGCAGGAGACGGTGACAGACAAATACTCGCCTTGGGGCAGCAGCGTGTGGTGGTGGGCGGTGTTGGGTCTCAGCCACCCAACCATCCAACCACCCAACCACCCACACGGGCCACGCACCACACACACCCCAGACAACCCACACACCCCAGACAACCCACTCACACCCCAGACAACCCACACAACCACTTACCCACATGTAGAGTTACATCCATAACTTGACACTTGTATTTAGGAACTGATGTAAGTCACAAACACGATTGCAATTACGATTACGAGTATATTTTGCATAGGTTCTATTCGAGCAGATCAGATCTTTGTAGTCGCACAGAGTACACGATACCAGATACGATACGATACTAAACTAAACACACCATCAGCATGGAAGCTAATCCTAAGTTGACACACACATAATCGCATCTGAAACGTAACGGCATACATATCAAATGTTTACATACATACTTGCATGATCCACCACCCATTCATAACCAGGTATGAAACGAAGCTATACACTATATCTCTAACGAAAGCCAAAGTACCTATTTAAAGACATAGAATCTGTAATGTGTATCTACTACGATATGATAACAATATTTACATGGATCCATCAACGGAAGACTTCTTGACTCCATGGTCGCCACAGAGACCATTGCGGGGCATCTGGGCATCTGGGCATGAGCACGATGAGGATGCCTCCCCTGACTATCATTGCTGTTTAACTATTTACCACCTAACCAGAATAATACAGATTTGGACGAGCCCCGTTCGCCACATAAGCTAATGTATAAAATACTCATGGCCAACAACACACACATACCACACACACAGAGAGAGAGATCCGGATCCGGAAACCTAAAACAAATTCGCGATGGCATTGTGTTTTTGTATTATATTAAATGTGTATGTACAATTTTACACTTATTTGCTGAAATTTATTGACGAGAGCATTTTAATAGTAGCAGCAAAACCGAAAAGGATCACAGAGTTAGCCTAAGCCAGAATCATGATCAAGATCAAGTACAATTGCATTCATCAAGTGAGCCAAGGAACACGTACATCGAAGGATATTTGAAGAGCATTTTTGCAGTAGCGTAGATGGGATATAAGTTGCCTGTTTTTAAAACACTTATGTATCGTACGTACTTATAGCTTAACTTAAACCAAACCGTTCCCAATTGTGGTATTCGTTATTTTAATAGTTGGTTGGCTTGTGCATAGGCGTAGGAGTTGAACAAATTGTTTCGCATAGTTTGCTGTTGTTTGATATTAAGAGGATTAGTTTTTTAAATTTTACCAATCAGACTAAGTGAATGATATGCTTTAATCGCTGCTAAACCAATTAGCCAACAATGGGGCAAGTAATTACATTAATTATGATGTTGCTCATCCAACTGGTACTGGTATCTATGGCTGCTGGTCCGCCGTCCAGCAGTGCCGGACATATAAGTAGAACAGCCAACACAAATCAAGAAGTGGAAAATTACACACTAGATCTAAAATAAATTGTTGAATTCGAGTAGAGAAATTATTAATCAAGATTATGATAGCGGACCAATTTGCGTATAAGATTTGTGAAATCAATTTAGATAAATTATCTCGGTTTGCCATAGACATGAACGATTTCAAATAAGTATGCCAGCCTTAGTTGAGATTTATAGGTAGCCTGCCTGTGCTTTGGGTTCTGCTTCGTGTTTTCCTAGTTTTAGGTACGTTTAATTGTAGACAGACAGCAAACTGGGTTTTGGCTATTCAGTATGTGCCGTATATTGGAAAACATTCTCCATACAGTACATTTCACAAAATGCGTAAAATTACTTAGTTGCATAACAATTATAATAACGATGAATTGTAATTAAAGCATAATACATTTTAGGTGCATGATTTAAAATACAACGAATGAATATATTTACACCGAAATTCTTTTCTAATTTTTCTTACAAATATATACACACAGCATATAGATCTATATACATAGATATATAAATATATTAGTTGTATACATATTGAATTAGATTTTACAAGATTTGAAAACCGAATAATTAATTATCGCTTACATTCAATTAATATGCAACTCACACAGAGCGCCCACTGCTAATAATATAAAATAATCGCCTGAGCGCCAAGTTGTAAATATAAAGGATCAACAAGTTACATAGAAATTATATCCGATTTTTTGAAAGGCCGGCGTAATAATAACAAGAAAAATATAAACAGTTTGGTGGCCTACTTAAAAGATCTTATTGTTGAAGATTTATCTTAATAACATTTATCGTGCAAATGAGAATAAGAACATGCAAAATAATTTAAATAAAAATTTAACTATGACAAATCAAGCAGAAAATTGAATTATTTGCCAATCATTTACGGACTCTGACTTGGTAAAAATCACGGACATTATTATTTACATTAATACAAATTAAGTTTGCAGCTGCTGCTACACATTATCGATGTGATCATCTTCGTGATCGTCGACCAGCGTGAATCCTTCTTCCTCCACAACGCTTTTCCTGCTTTTGCTGCTAGAATCGCTTACATCTAGATTTTCGTTTTTCTGCGGTGAGGGAGGAGCTTCTACCAGCTCCTCGACCCCCGAAACGGCGAGCTGAGGTTGCGTTTGTTTTGACTGCTGCTGAACACTCGACACGTTCATTACATTTAACAGCATTTTCAAGTTCTCGCCCGATATACAATCCCCAACTGCCTCTCGACCAGCAATAGCTTGATGTGCCGCTTGGGCTCCAACCGGGGCGGGATTGCTGTGGATAAGGGATGCCCATGCTTTTGGGCTTATGATGTATTTAAAGGTTAGCTTTATAATGTAGCCCACCAAAGCCACTAAGAGGAGCGGGGCAAGGAGGTTGAAAGGGAATGACAATCCATCTGCGAATAAATGTGGTTATTAATGTTACAAATATTGACTAGGGATAGTTTCCTAAAAACTTACAGGACAGTTTTTGCATAGTTTCAGACACTTTTTCCAACAACATTTCTAACTGCTTAAGAAACAGGTTGTTCATATACATAAAGAATACGTGATCTGGCATGCAGATTGAAAGATTGAGCTTTGAAGATTTTCTGAAATACAAAGTTTTTTAGAGGTTGACGGATACTCTAAGGGATTCCCTTACTTCAGCATTTCTATTTGCTGATCCTGTAACGAAGCTTGGAATACAAAGCCTTTAAGTCGACCGAACCAGGACATTTCCGCGTAGCTCTTTGGTTCCTGGTGACTTTTCATAACTTCCATCATGGCTTCGACATCTAACTTCTGTAAATATTCAAGTAATGAGGATAGCTTCTTATGATTAATACTACATAGTTACATACTCTGTTGCACTCTAAGTAAGTGTGAATATATCCACATAGAAAAATACCGCCCAGAACAATTGAAATTAACCGGATACGGAAACGTTTGTGCACAAGGCATCCAATTGCGGTGGCTAATACTGCAAATAGTATAAATTGCACCTGGGAAAACAAGTAATTAGTAAGCACAGTGTCATATTCCCATAGAAGGCGCAACAGGTACCTCAGAAATTTTCGTAAGTGCTACGATGTCCTTCAAAATATCCGCCAATATGGAGAGCACTCCCTGCCGGGCATAGGAGCATCCGGACTTGCCCTCAAACAAAGGAGCTTCCTCGACACTCTCCAGTATTTTGGTCAGCAAAACGTCCAGATCCCGGACATCTTGCACCCTCTCCAGTTCCTCCAGTTGGGATGTCCGCAGCGAGAATAGCAACGATCGCTTGTGGAGCGCCGATTCAGCATCGAACTATTTACAGAATAGTTACACCCATGACGTCATGTCTCCAAATTTGGTCAAACAGTAGAACGATCTTACCTGTAATCGCTTGCGTTGAAACAGTATATTGACGAACTTTCTGAAGTAGGTAAAAGCTAAGGCATCCTCTACGGCGGCCGGAGATCGCTCCGGAATCGCAGGACACTGGCAGGAACCATCTGGCTGATTGAAATCTTGGACTAGGTTTGACCAATTGGGATGCGGATCAATCCAGTTCTCCTCGCTGTCACTTTGGCAACAGACGCTGTGGAGTACCAGCAGGAAACAACTGACTGCTGCCTCCGTCCTCATTGTCCTGGATTCTCTTAAATGTGCCTCTAAGTAAACAAACTAGCCTATTTCAATTAGGTACTGGGAATGGCGCCGCGGTAGGTAAAAAGCGGAATAGGCAGTGTGACCGAATCCAGATAGTGAGGCATTCCATAACAGCAACAGTGCAGCGAAACATTTCTGGCGGCCGACTTTTTTAAGCTAATTATTTTAAAGCAATATAAAGAGTAAGAATATATATACAACATTTACGTTAACTATTTATAAACTCCATTGAATGAATTTAAAACTTTATTTCCCAAGCCCAAAATGATTTAAAACCGACAAAACCAATAAATGATTATAAAATTGTTTAAGGTTTCTTGTTTGTTTCAGCAGCTTTTAACTATCGCTTGTTGGTCACACCGGCCAAGAGGCGCCCGAATTACTTCGTGTTCGGCTGGTCACACTGATCGTTGTGAATAACTGTTTAGCCAGGTCAGCATTCAGAATTTTTCGGCTTAAGTCCCGTATAAAAGCCACGAGGAACATGCTGAAGTGTGCACCGGTAATTGCACTCCTTGCGCTGGTACTACTGATTGTCTCGCATGGCGTGGATGCGGACAAAAAGCAGAGCAAGAAGTACAGCAAAGAGGCCAACGACCCGCATTTCCAGCAAGTGAAGCAGGAAAAGTATGACCCGGACTTCAAGAGTATCCAGCGGCCATTTCGCATGGCCAAATTGAATCTGGTGTGGGCCAAGGCGCAGAACGTAAGAGACGGAACATCTATTAGCTGGAATATCCTTTACATTGATTTCGGTTACAGCGCTTAACAGAGCCAAAGCTTAAGTCGCTATACATGGAGCTTAAGATCCACGACAAGGAAGAGATTGCCTGGAAGCAGCTCAACTCCCAGCACAAGGACAAGGATGGCCTAAAGGATGACGAGCTACGTCGCAAGCTGATTGGCATTATGAGCAGCTACGATCTGCTGGAGCACTTTGATGACACCCAGGACTCAGAAAAGTTAAAGCCCTTTAAGGTAATCGAATCTCCATCGTATGACTTGACTATTTTCTATTCAAGCTACTTTGCAGAAATTCCACGACGCCGATGACCGGCACAAAAACAAGAGCCTATTCAAGGACAAGAAACTCAACAGGCTGTGGGAAAAGGCAGAGATTTCTGGTTTTACTGCCGAAGAGTTGAAGTCCTTGAAGCAGGAGTTTGACCATCACCAGGACAAGGTTGATGTGTACTACAGCCTTTTGGAAAATATCGGAACTGTGGATACCGACAAGCATGAGAGTAGGTTGGTTTGACAACACATAAAAACATACTTTAATGAATTTTCCCCTTTAGATGCCATAAACACCGAGGATCTGGACACCTACAATCTGATATCGAATGATGCCAATGAAAATGAGATAAAAACCCATGCTCAGAATGTTAAGAGTTTCGAAAACGACCTCAACACACTTCGCGGTCATCATGTGGGCATCAAGGATCACTACGATAGACTGGAGCGCCTGGTGTCCTCCGGTCCACACAGCCAGGACTTCATCGAGCCCAAGGTTCAGGGTCTATGGCGAGTGGCTCAAGCTAGCAACTTTACTGATAAGGAACTGGAGTCCATCAAGACCGAATTGCATCATTTTGAAAGCCGCCTGTTGAAGCTGCGTCACCTGCATGCCGAGCATGCTTTACATGTAGAGAAATACAAGGTATAAGATTGGGAACAGCGTAAGATATCAAATAATATTCTTATTTACTTTAAATTCGTAGGGCGAAAAACACAAGGACAAGAGCAACCGCTTTGAAGAAATGGAGGATCAGCTGAAAAAGCAAACTCGCAAGGTGGAAAAACTGCAAGAGAACATTGAGAGAACCATCTTCAAGCACACAGAACTTTAAGAAAAGGAGCAATCACTAAACGTGCCAAGCGAATAAACTAGATTTAAGAGCAACTGTTTGTGTAATGCACAAAAACCTTTAGGCTGCTATTCAGCGTAGGTATAGTTTTGATACCAAATATCATTTGAAGAAAAATAAAATCTTATGAAGTTTTACAAAATATGAACAGGGTGTTTATTCGAAGTAACATATTACATTTCTGATAAAATACAAACGAAATTACAATTTGTATAATGTTTTATGTTTTTATTTTTAATTTATTAATCATCCGAACTTTTCATGGTCTAAATAGGGTTAAAAGTTAACCGTTAATTGCCGGTGATATTTTTAGTATGACCATAAAAGCGTAGGTATTAAATGACGAGATTTCCCATTGCAGTAGGACCGCACCTAGTATGACCGCACGTCAGTCGCGTTCTTGTTGTTGTCTGTTTCGTTTGGTGGGCCAAAAAAAAAATAAAAGAATAGTCCAGCGAAAATTAGTAAATATATATGTGCAGCGGTCAGTGCAAGTGCTAAATGGGTACATAGTGCATATGTGCACACAGCGACATGGGCATGGTGGAGGCGACGACGGCGGAGCTGCGCCTGGAGGCACCCAACTCGTACACGTACCTCCTCGCGACCCTCAGCCTGACGCTCACTTTCATCGTGATGTTGGGCGCTTGTCTCTGCTGCAAGAAGCGCATTCCCAAGTAAGTCTCCATCTCTGCCCTGATTCTTCAGGAGATCAGGAGTCGGAGTCCATCGTGGAAAGTTCCCTCAGGCGCGAACAGGGCGGTGCTCGCCAGCGAGAGAGTGAAAGTGGGTCTCACTCCGCCGCTACGCCACCCAGTTCCAGTTGGATGCACCCATGCCACTAATCACTATTTCTCCCCTTTCCCCACAGAAATGACTTGATGGGCCTGGAGGGCATGGTCAAGTTGAAGAATCCGGACGAGGTCATCGTCGTCACCAACCTGGTGGGCAACAGCGAGTCCCAGGCGGAGCTGAATGCCTCTACAGTCTCGAATGCTGACTCGGAAAAGCGGTGAGTGTCCGCAAATTACATAAGAGAGAAAGGAGTTATTTAGACCCTAACCACTTCCAGATCGAGCACTGCAGCCCATCGCAGTTTGCCGGACATTCCCGTGGCCGAGAGCAACGATAATGGGTCCGAACTATACGAAACAGTGGCGGACAAGCAGTTGGTCGATGCCCGTAGCCAGAGTCGTGAGTGGTGTACAAACCTCAAAGTAATACAGTACATGTCCTACTCCTGTCCACAGCCCAACCGAGCATGAAGAAACAGACCAGTGTGTCCCAGCATAGCTCCATCAGCCAGGCGGACGATGTCAGCTCACCGTACTCTCGGGTCAAGGGTCTGCCGCACGACTACGCCAAAGTGCGGGGCACCGAACACCCCTACGCCCAGCTAAATGCCCCCTCAACGTCCCATGCGGCTAACCATGGATCTGCAGCAGCAGCTGCGGCGGCGGCAGTGGTGGCCGGATCTTCCAGCGATGGCATCGATCCCATGCACCGCAGCTCGCAGCACAGCGAGGGCTCCAGGGAGCACAATGATTCGGCGCCGGCGCAGGCCGAGATTCCCGCCGCGTCTGCGATAGCAGGCATGATTTCGGCTAGCCAGGATCTTCCCTACATGACGCCGCCCATTGCCAACCAGCATTTCAGCGGTGACTCGCAGGATTCTTCAAGTAAGTTTGCGGCACTCGAGGTGATGTCATGTCCCTAAATGCTTTTATACACAGAGGGATACACTAGCATCAGTGTGAGGGAGCCATTGGCGAACATTCTGGCCCAGCAACCACAGGGGAAACCGTCGAATAGGAACCCAGCTTTATCGCGGGATGTAAATGACTCGCACTACGCCACCGTATCCGACGATTCTGGTGAGTCACTAGGGAAATTACACAATTTAATGTAGCAGTTTCCAGTTTGTTTAACAACATTGCAGGATAAGTTTTAGTTTGTTTTTAATTTTTTTAAATTAAAACAAAGTAATATTGTACTCCAATTTGTATCAAATCGGAACCAAATGAATTTTTTTTCTTTATTTAACTGTATTTTCAGATGAAACCTATGCGGCCATTGAGGATCCCAATAACCGTCATCATGTCAATGCCGCTGATATTTACACTAGCGGTTCGGAAACCTACGCACAAATCCAGCCCATGCAAGCCAATCCCATTGTGGTGGCCGTCGAGATAAATAATAGCAGCAGCATTCCGACCGCTAGTCCGTCCGTCGTCATGGTCGGTGGTGGAACCAGTAGCGGAAACCACAGACCCACTAGTAGTAGCGGTGCCGATCATGGAATGCCAGTTCCCCCGCCGGTGGACAGTTTGCGAGCCCAGATGCACTCGCGCCAGGCCTCGTCCTCGTCGAACAACAGCGCATCCGTCTGCAATCTGGGCTCGCCCAAGCCGGAGAAGCGCCAGGCGAACTCTCCTCTGCCCCCGACGCCCAAGGCGAGTGTGGGCCAGTCGCACCACCTGCACGCCGGAAGCATCAGCAACTTAGCCTCCGGCCGGAACTCGGTCATATCGGTGATCGAAGCCGGTGGCGAAGGCCACGAGGCGGAGTCCGGAGAGGCGTCGCCCCAGCGAAAGCACAGCAAGAGCCTTAGCCCCTCAAAGGAAGGCGAGGGCAACAAAAACATAGAGGGCATGTACGCCAAGGTGAGATTAATCTCTGATAGTACCACACTACCAAGCTAATCTGCTTTTACAACCCCCTAGGTTATGAAAAAGCACAAATTCTCGCGGAACTCTCCCTCCTCGCAGAACAGCTCGCCCATCCTGGCCAGAAAGCAGCAGCAGGATGCCTTGGGTGTTAGTCCACTGGACAGCGCGGCGGCTTTACTAGTGGATGCCCAGAAAGGTCGTGGTCGCAGCAATAGCTATTCGGCCAAGGATCACGGCTACGAAACGATTCCAGCCGATGGACAAGTGATGCACGAGAACCGCAAGTCGGACTGCTATGCAGCCAACATGCTGCAGAAGGAGCGACAGCAGGAAGGTGGAGGTAAGTCGACAGGTCTCCTCAGCCCCTTGTTACCAGTCCCAGCTCGATTGTTCAGGGTAAATCAGGGTGGATTTCTGTGATCTGCTCATCGTTTTTATCCTGGCTCAGTCGATAATCCCTGCCTGATGCCTAATCTGCCTGTCTATCTATCTGTCTCTCCTTGTCTTTCCTCCGAAATGCCTTCCCAAACTTAGTTGCTATGCCAATATGAGAAAT